CTCCGACCTCACTGAGTAAGACGCTTTTTCCACATAAGTTTCTCCTTACATCCCACGCACGCACGCTCAACAAGAGCAGAGGAAGCCTGCGACAGCTAGCGCTCAAAATATGATCCATGTTTCCACACAGACCAACTAGAAAGCTGACGTTCCCTTACCGCATCTTGCACGGGCTCTGTGCACACCATCAGCTCTCTAGCAGCAAACACAGCACAGAGGAAGTTTCGTAGAGGTCTGGAATGGGACTGGACTCACCCACGAGGATACTCAGCCGCCATCAACGATAGCCTGACAGCCAAACCGCTACCAGATCCACCACCGCTGTCAAACGACCCATGCGCCGCATACGCCATCAAACAGTACCCAGACATCTTCAAAGTAGTATGCCCAGTCGACGTCCGAATGTTCTGCCACCTACTCAAAGACCATCCGAACCGTCCATTCGTCAATTCGGTGGTTCGTGGGCTGGCACACGGATTTTGGCCATTAGCGGAACTCCCAAACAACGACATCGTCGACCATCCCAACCACTCAGTATGCGACGATCACCCGGAAGTACTAGAAGCAGCACTAGCCGAAGAAACGGCAGCAGGCAGGTACTCGCCAAGAATTTACACGCTACTGCCAGGAATGAAAGTATCGCCGCTGCTTCTAGCCGCAAAAGCGGGATCATCGAAATTACGACTGTGTACCGACATGAGTTACGGTCAGCCCTCCCTGAACGACTTAGTAGACAAGGAAAAAGCAAGAGTTCAGTACGACTCACTTTCGTCTTTCGGGCCATACATGAGGCAAATCCACGACGCAGTATTGAAGCTCATACTATGGAAGAGCGACGTAGCAAGAGCATACAGAAACCTGGGAATGCACCCCCAATGGCAACTAAGACAAATCGTGAAGATTGGCGAGTTTTATTACGCCGATAGGTGCGCGAACTTCGGTTCAGCTGCCTCGCCTAAACTGTGGTGTTCTTTTTTTTCGCTAGTACTATGGATCGCAAAGCATCGCCTGAAAATCAATCGCATCAATAACCTGATGGACGATACATGGGGGGTTTCCCACGTAAACTCTATGACAACCTTCAAAGCAGTCAAAATGCCACTCAACCAGGCACTGCTACTCCTTCTCTTTGACACGATCAACCTTCCTTGGGACTGGAAGAAACAGTTGCATGGGAAGCAATTGGAGATTATCGGCCACTACGTCGACGCGGACCAATTATCGTTCACACTCTCGCCAGAAAAGAAGACCGGACTCATAGAGAACATCCGAGCTTTCACGGCACGACCGTCACACCGACTGAAGACATGGCAAAGCACTCTTGGCTGGGCGTCATGGGGCCTCAACGCGTTCCCTTACGGTCGGTTCGCACTCCAAGCCGCGTGGGAGAAGCTTTCAAACAAATCTTCCAGGTTCGCGTTGATACACGTCAATAAAGAGATCCAAGACAATCTACGTTGGCTGGCAGACTGCCTAGAACGCTCTACTGGACAACTATTCCTAGAAGCGTCCATTTGGGTGATTTCGTCGGCAGACGCTCTGTTGGTCACTGACGCCTGCATGTACGGGATTGGAGTCTGGCTCCCGAATTCCAGACATGGCTATCACAAACGCCTGCCAGCTCCGGAACGCGATATATACTGGATGGAACTACTAGCGGTCTGCCACGCCATATCGATGGCTACGGACAACGGGAAAAAACGGATATTCATAGTCACAGATTCCATGAACGTTTGCGACCTCTTTCAGTCACACAGCCCAATACCACTAGTACGTCCCCTTTTCAGAACGATAATACGTCTGGTTGTCGCCGCCGGGGCAGACGTGAAAGTCGCCCATCTCCCAGGAAAGAAGAACAAGTACGCCGACGCGCTGTCAAGAGGAGTCATCAGCACAGTACTAGAACTAGAACCCACAGCCGTCATCTCCACACTATCTTCACCACATCATTTCCCTGATGGGGGATACCGTCTATGAACACGCAACCACCAAACCAATCCAGGCGTCAGCTGCTAGGACTGTTATCTGAAGCTGACGCCGCCCACAGCCTAGCTTCAACCACAAAATCCGCCTACTTATCAGGACTCAACTCTTTCCTACGTTTCTGCATACGCAACCAACTACCCGCCATACCGACGGTCGACACTCTCTGCTCATACGTCTCCGAACTATGTAGACACATCTCACCAAGAACCAACAAACCAATAGCGCCATCCTCCATCGAGGGATACCTAGCAGCAATAGCAGCATCATTCGAACCCATCTACTCCGACGTACGACTAGCGACTAACTCGCCAAGAGTCAGAAAGGTACTACGCGGAGTCAAAGTACAATTTTCCCTTCCAGTAGTCCGTAAGGACCCTCTCACAATTCCCGACCTAATACGCGTCTCCAAGACGTTCTGGTTCGCATTCGACGACCTTCTCTTCACCGCGATGATCCTCACAGGCTTCCATGGGCTACATCGTCTAGGCGAGTTAGTGATGCACGACTCCGTGGCTCACCGCAACGACAGACGCACCATACTCAGGTCGTCGTTCTCGTTCTCAAAATGCGGCGAATTTGCAAAATACACTCTACCGCACTCAAAAACGGATCCATACTTCCAAGGGACAGCCGTGGTGCTACCATCTTGCGCCATCGACGGCGCCTGCCCAATCAAGGCACTCTCAAAGTACCTATTGAGGAGGGACTGCCGGTTCTCCAACGACGGACCTCTGTTTCAGAAGATGGACGGGTCCAAACCAACTCGCAGTTGGTTCCTTTCTCGTTTCCGCGAGTTGTTCGACACAAACAAATCGGGTCACTCCATGAGGTCAGGAGGAGCAACCGCCTACGCACAAGCCGGCCTACCTATGGACCACATACAGGATCTGGGCCAATGGTCCTCCGAGGCGTTCAAAACGTACGTCAGGGGGCATCCAATCATGAGACTCGCGGCGACACGAGCTCACCCCCTCTCCATCGACGGCCACCTGGGCGCACAAATCATTTTTGCATGACATGTAAGTACCAGAACGTTTTGCCGCTTCAATTTATTTCTCCTTCTTCACACACGATGTCCGGCGCGGTACCTTTCTACCTTTGCCTCTACGCACCCCACTACCAGAGGCCAACGGAGGCGACGCCGGACCAAAGGACAGAGCGCAGGCATGTCAGGCGCGACGGCACACCTACTATACCTTTCTCTCTCCCCCATCTTTGCTCTTTCTCTCTTTTTCCGCCCCTTCACCACTCTCACCGCTACTACCCGGGCCTAGTCTTTCACACCAGATAGGCGGGTGGAAAAAGGGGTGTTATCTCAGCAATGTCACCACGCGCCAGCCTACGGCCGGGGCGCGGCTTCGCCTAAAAAACCTTGCAAGCCCGCAGGGCGCGCTTCCTAGAGAGAAGACATGAGAGTGACAAGACTCAGTCTACCAGAAGTGGAGACAACACATCCCTCGGGTTTGATGTCCCGATTAAACGAGTGGGATATGGTGATCGGATTCTTCCAGACAGGAGCCTGATGTCACAAGATTGTAGTAAGACTCCGCAGCTGACGCACGGTTGTTTCTCACTCGCAGCCAACCACATGCGTGACATCTCATGGCCAAGGAGCCGCGAGTATCCAAACTAACCGCTCAGCACAGTAGGCCTGATTCTTCCCTCCAGAACAACAGCCTACGAACAAAATCTTAGGAGTCGACAATCTGAGACATCAAGATCCAAGAAAGTCTTATCACAAAACAGTTTCTCTCCCTCCTCCTAAGAATTGTAGAAACGCCCACCCACCCACATCCAACTCTACGACGTTCAAGCCGCATAAGAAAAAAGAAAAAAAAAAACTCACAAAAAACATACCACAGGAAAAGCTAGAGCTCAGCCTTTCCTACGTCTTGCTGTTTATAAGATAACTAATTTCGTCCCAGTTACAGTCCGATGAAAAGAAAAAAAAAAAAAAAGAGAAGTTTCATTTATAGGTTCTGTATCAGCGTGTTGTGTTTCAAGTCTCAGTGTCCGGATTTCTTTCTTTTTTTATGCTCCTTTCTTTTTTTCTCTCCTCTCAATCTTAGAAAAATTTGTTATTGCCCAGCAGTCCGTACTTCATCAATTTCTCACTATCACCTATCACAACTTTTAATGTTTCGGTTTTTCTTTTTTCTTCCTTGGGTACGAGTCCAAATAATTGTCTTTCTACTCTTTTTTTCCTCTTCCTCCCCAAGGGGTGTTATCTCAGCAATGTCACCACGCGCCAGCCTACGGCCGGGGCGCGGCTTCGCCTAAAAAACCTTGCAAGCCCGCAGGGCGCGCTTCCTAGAGAGAAGACATGAGAGTGACAAGACTCAGTCTACCAGAAGTGGAGACAACACATCCCTGAAAACTTGCAAGGAAAAATTTTTCACCTCATGAAATTCAAAGCATCTCATCATTCACTTCTCATCATGAAACCCGCACATGGATCAAGCTATACACATATATAACCTTCTAACTTAACTTTCACTCTGTGACTGTACTGAATCTAGAGGACTTTGATATCTGAGATCCATGGACGTATGGCGTGTCTTGGTCATAGACTTATTGCCTCCTTCATAAGAAATGTAGTTCCTTTTGGTATGATTTAATTCTGCAATCTTGACTAGGATGATGACCGCTTGAGACTACATATCCTCAAATGTCTTGTTAACAAGTCATCTTTTGTGTAGTAATGGATGGATTCGTGAAGTTTAAATTCAAGGCATCATTGTAAAGTCTGAGGGGATTCGTAGAGGTCGAAAGACAATTCATTATAAATGGTTGGATAGCAATGACAATTGATCAAGTGTAGTCGAAATGAGAATGAGAATGAGAGGGTTGTATGCATATAAGAAGGGTGTGTGTATAAAGAACAAATCAGGTCAAATGTATGCGCCCCATGTTCAGTATCGATCGAAGTTTGTCAGTTTCCTTCTATCCTCAACTTCATCCTCAACTTTCGAACAACTCATGGATCAATCGAACCTCGAATCCCACATCTTAAAATGGCTCCCAAGAAAATGATAACTCGGTTAAATTCAATCACATCATCATCAAATATCGAAACACCAAAATGTCCAACAGATCAAGACTTAAGAGAACTTGGTTTAAATCCATATCAACTCGAACCTCCAAATTGGAGATTACCAATTCAACTTAATCAACCTATACTTGGTTATCCTGGTTTACATCCAACTCATCCTGGTCAACAAGAAGATGCTATCACAAAATCATTGGTTCAAAGTGGCTTTAGCGCTAGAACTTTGGTCGGAGTTGAGTCTTAAACCCTTTTGAATCATCAGTTTTCGACATCAAGGCTAACAGGCTTCAATTGGTTCTTATCGTATTCATCAGACAGAATCTTTTTCAGCTCATCAAATGATATATAAGAAACTGAGTGATGACTCTAATTTCAATCTTTCATCGGCCGGTCTCTCAGCTTTAATCGAGGCTCGCCGAAGGTATTGCGCTATCAATCAATAGTATGCAGACTTCATTTTGATCATCAATCCGTTCATTGGAATATAGATTGATGAATAAACCATCATCCATCGGCTTTATAGTGATACCAAGTCTACCATCAAGATACCAGGAAGAGTCACACTTAATGATCAAAAACGAGAAAATTGGTTAAGAGAATTAGCAGATCCACACGTTCCACTCTTGAAGCTTTCTAAAAACGTACCACATGGCTATAAAGGTGAAAAATTATTAGAAATGCTTGTTCAACGTCGAGTTGAACCTGTTCGAGCGGTTTGGTATATCAGATTGATTGGCTTAAATGATATCGTTTGTCATTCTCATCTCTTCTCATCTCTTATCTTTCAAACGCGAATCCTAATCAGAGTTATCTTTTGATGAAAATTAGATTGCTCAAAGAAATAAAAACGATTTAATGCAAATCAAATATACCATCACTTTTACCAGCGAATTATGTCAATTTCTTCAAAAGCAACTGGGAGAAGTTACTGTCCCTTTACAACTGAATATTTCCTCTACAACTAGTTTGATCACTGGTAGTAGCCGATTGGCTGGAATGAATGTTAGAAGTAAACTACGCTCAAGTACCTTATCGGATCCTGAGACTAGGAAAAGCTGGGTAGCCAAGTTCACGCACACGTATGTAGTTCAACACTCCACGAATATATCAACATATCATCGCTCTTTTTTGAGAACCTGCCAATCGTTTTTGAAATCTGACTGTGATATCTTTTCCCATGTTGATCCACTCAGCACACAGATCTTGAAAAGACTATATACCGATAGTCTGTTAGATAAGCCTACTTTGTTCAAATGGTTGGTTGATCAATTGAAATTGGCCAACTTGGCTCAAGTCCATTTCTTATTAGACATCCACCAATTGGTTGTTAATAAGTTTTGCTTGTCATCAAACATTGTCAGAGGTTTTGTAGAAGCCTCCCTGTCTCAGATTCGAGTGGTAAGTACAGCATTTTAAATCCTGATATACGCCGGAATTGATTCTCAAAAGATGAATGTAACTTGCATCTCCAGATCAACAAACAGCGTTCAACTTCGTACTTGTCCAAGTTGGAGCTTCGACTCAAGTTGGCTGTCCAGGTGTGTTCATTTCGCTGCCCATCGACTCTATAGCATATATTTGTAAACACTAATGAGTAAATCTATCTCTAGAGCTCTTTCATCATTTGTGCAGATAATTTCGTCTGGCCTGACCTGTGGATGCCGAACCGAGTTTTACTGGAGAGTATCATCATGTCTTGTACCAGTGGATCAGATCCGGATCTTGACCCATTACAACAGAACATCTCAAGCGTCGAGGTAAAAGAAATGTTACGAAATGATTTTTTTTCAGTTGATTGGAGGGTCAGTGAGATGGTGGGAGATCTCGGTGTCGGTACTGGACCTCCGGGCAACACGTTTACGCGCCGGGCTCAGTTGGTGGAAGTGAGTTGGCTTATATCTTTCTATACTCACTTACGTTTGTTGACATCGATAATATATTTATTAGATCTTAGATGGGTTTTCGGATTATCATGACTGTTCGAAGCTCTATTATACTTATTTTCTTAATCCTGAGCCCGGTGAGATAACCACATTCAAAGATCGAATCGAGGTATTGTTATCATGGTCAACAACCCCATTCAGAACTCTGGATCATCGTGTTTTTTTGACGTGTAACATATTAGCATGTGTAAAAAAAGATAAAAAGATTACTGTTGAAGAATTTCAAAACCATTTGATCGCATGGTTAGAGCAGGTTGAGACCAATGAAGGTGGTGATATGCTAGTCAGACTATTTTCGGAACTTTCAAGAAGAAGTATTTTCTCTTATGGCGCTTATATTCAAAGAATGGTGGCTAAAGGTGACATGGAAGACGATATCATGGCCGGTAAAGTTTGTCATCAACTTATTTGTTCCCATTGTCAATTTATATATGAGACTAAGCTTATCTTTTGACTGTGACGACCCTCTCCATGCACACCCAAAGTCAAGTGGGTTACAGACGCTGCTTCGCGAATGGATGCCAATGGCGTCAACTTCAAAAGCGTCTCGGTCTGGCTATAACCACTTGAGACGTTCCCCTGGACGAGATGCTGCTCGTAATGGATTGTTATCTGCCTTTTCTGACATCACCATTTCATTGGGTAAGCCATAGATTCTTTTACCTTGGTCTAATTCGGCGATCCGGATCATCAGCGATGTCTTCCGGCTAGCATACTTGCCCATTCTGAAGAATTTGTCCGGTTCACGACTGATATATGTTTACTCTTGACGTTTTCTGATATAGCGGCACCAGATTATCAACAATTCTTCAATACTCTTAATTGTCAATTGGAAGTCTCCAAGCCAACTTCAGCAAATCGCAAAATGGTGACCGAGATCTTACCAGACCCGGTGATTCGTATGGTCTCTGATCTCTCGTCTTTCAGTTCAGCAACTTCGACTACTTATCATAGTAGATCCAATTCACCTATACAACTCGCATCCGCAGTCCTTCTATGGGCAATCCAGATACTAGAGTCCTGTAAAGCCTATACAACTCTCTACAATGTGATCCATTCAGTCATACTACGTGTGTTAGATGGGATTGATACATACGAACAAAATTCCAATGAACAAACCACTTCTCTTTCCAATTCTCATATTATCCAATCTCGGTTCTGTTGCCTTCACGTGGTCTGTGTGGCTGTAATGAGCTCGCATCGGATTTTTGAGATCGAAGGTCATTTGACCGGTTTGATTTCACAGATGACAAACGCATATGTTCGACTTCGGCGATTTAACTCGAATGCTGGAAGTACTATCTATCTCCAATTCGTTAGGTCATTTAGGGCACTCATTATGGAAAGCCGATTTCCAGATGGGCAGATACTGGATCTTTTGAATAAAGACAGTAATGAGTTTCCAGCTGTAAGTCTCTCTCTGTCTCTCTTTACTTGCTTGTCGCTTTCATACAGAATTTGATATATGTACTCGTGCTCCGGTAACCTGTAGATCGCTCTGTTAGACCCAAATCCCGAAAGCTCGAGCCCTATCACCGAGGACGCTATGCGTTTCATCACGCGTGATATTATTCAATTGCTCAATGAACCATCACCTGAGATTGCTTCGAGTCTTTTATCTAAGATCTGGGAGGTTTACGGACATGAGCCGATGGGTGGACCTTCAATTTGGAACTCCTTTATTTCTGGCCTCGATATATTCTTCCGGAATGAATCTGCGTTGGATCCCTCTCCTGATCGATTCTTACAATTACGGAGTACAACCAGAAGCACAGTCTTACAATTCTGCGAAGAGTTGAATGCGCGCAGTGAAGGTGGTCTGATCAACTGCCTTGTTCAGGGAGGGACGCTTCCGCCCGTTGAAATCGAAGAGTCAGGTTTAATTTGTGACGAAGGAGTTCAAGAAACAGCTAGACTCACTTCAGAAGAAGGTGAAGAGCGCGAAGAAATCGATGAACCTACTCCGGGTCACTCGGAATTACACGTGGGCCCGACCTTGTCACCAATCTTGCAGATGCTGTACTTGGAATTAGTATCTATTGGTGTGCTGAGCCTCGAGACTGTGCTAGAAGAAGTGATCCTCAAGCCTTTGATTGACTTACCTGAGTCTATCAGTCGAATGATGACTTCTGGAGAAGATAAGGGGGAAACGGAGAAGGATCAGGCTGTAACTCGTCAGAAGGTTTTAGGACATTTATCAGACATATATGATTTAACACACGCTCTTCTCCTCAATCATTCGCCATTCGAAGTTGGTAGAGTAGGTAGCGAGGCCGAAACGCCTATCGGGGCGTATGAACGTACGATCAGTGGTTTTGTTGACGGCGAAGCTAGGAATTACGTTGAGATCTTCATCGATCGGTCACTCAGTACATGGAAACTCAAGTCTGAGAGGTACAGATGGCTTGAACAGTCACCAGCTGGTCCAGCTTTCTACAGTCGTTTGGTTTTGTCACTTTTACTTACGATGAAAGGATTGCTCGATTTGATGAAAGCTGACGACAATGATGCGACCATGAAGGAGGATGTTGGCCAAGGAGAGATCATCGAAGATCATCCAAGTCCACATGTTATATCTTCTAATCGTTTCTTGAGAGAACTCATAGAATCTCTAGAGCGGTTTCGAATCATGATAACCTGTGAACTGGCAGTCATCAAACGTGTCATCAATCATCGGGCAGATTTGATTTTGGATCCTTTATTGGAATTCTTGGCTAACAATAACACGGAGTTGGCATTTAACAACAACATGGTCCGAACAATTGATGACCTACTACCTTACTCTCTACCAAGTAGGTAGTCTTCTTGCAGTATTGTCATTTCTGGGGCCTTATATTGAATTTTTTTCCTTTGTCATCGTCCACAGCCGATCTAGTGTCTTATAAATACCCATACCTTGAATCGATCTTCAAGTCCACTTGTATTTTCACTCATGGAGCACGCACTCGCCAGTTTCAACTTCATCTCAGACTTCTTCTTTCTGGCAGTCCACCACAGATTGATGATAAGCCGCCTCCTACCGATGTTAACTCTGTCCTAGGCCCATTGGTAGAAGTACTAGCTCGGAAGCTACATCTGACAGATTCTAAAGAACCTTCACCCCTCTTTTTGAGCCATCTGCTTCCTGCTGTTGCTGAAGCGGTGCGTCAGAACTTTCTGAAATCTGTGATTGATATGCAGGCTGACATTAATCCGATGCTTAGGTTGTGATCAAGTTATCAGCATATCTAGGAATTTCAATTTTCAAGCTCGTTACCCCGTCTCAACAAGATCCAGATTACGAGATCTCACGTATTCATCACATATGTCGATGTATCACTGAATTAACTCACCAACTCACCAATAGAACATTTCATATGAATGGAGATGTAGTAGCCAAGAGTATTGGAGGAACAGGACAATTGATGTGTAATGCTACTTTAGATTCATATCTTTCTTATTGGAATCAACTCAAGAATGGAATCACTACTTTTGGAGGAAAGTTTATTGAGAATGCTTATACGGATCATAATTCGGGATTAAAACAATCTGATAGTCGTACTATCAGAAGTCTTTTGCATTCTATTCAAGTTATGTTATGGGCTTTACCTGGTTTAGTCTCTCATTTAGGGTCTGTGAAATTTACCATTTCTGAACTCTTGGTCGATATAGCAATGGTAAGTTTGAGACAGTATCCATGATCCACTTCTCGTCTCATCGTTTTAATATTGATTTGCTTCTTCCTGACATTGCCGAACTTAGTGTGCGCAAGCTCAACCTAGTTTGATGACTCAGATCATGGATACGGTTGGAGTCTTACTGTTTCCATCTAGTACGTTGAACTTATAGGATCTATCCCGAATGAGAATATGCATTGACACATTTTTGAATTTTGACTTTAGTTCCTGATGATATGGCATTGACATCAGCCGTCGGGGTGATGCGAAAACGGTTAAGGTGGTTACATATACCGATATCTCATCTTGAAGCACCTTGTACTGATATCTTACCAATGGATCGACTCAAATACATCCTTGGATCATCTTTACGTGGTACTACTACAACCTTTCAAGAACGACCAAAGGATGGTTGGGTGAAACTTGTAGAGGAAAAAAGTTGGGAAGAGTTAGAAAAGATGGATCCTGTTGGACCTGCGTTTATCAGTATCGATGCACTCAAGTGTCAGACGTTAAGTCAAGTGGAGGTAGTACCAGAGGGTAGACGTAATACGAAGAATAAGATGAGATCTGAACAAGAAAATGTAATTCGAAGCGCTACAACAGATGATTCGAAAACGAATGATGGTATGGATGAAAATGAAAATAATCAAGGGGGACAAGAAGATGAAGATGATGAAGAAGACGAAGAGATTGTGAAAGGAGATCGAGAGAATTTTGAACATGAATTAAATACTGATGTACTTTCGACAATGCCATTACATTTCTTAAGATCACTTTATCCATCTAGGAGTCGATTAGAAGGAACTTATCAAGTTCATGCACCAATCAATCATATGGATCTTGAATCTGCTCGTGATCATCAAACTAGACTTGAAATCCAAACTCTCAAGAGATTAGCAAATGAAGGCATGGCAATGAATTCCGAACCAGACGAACCTAATCAATCAACATCAGGATCAGGAGGAAAAACACAAGTACAGACGACTCCGATTCATGTACCTGCACCAACTAGGAAAAGAAAGATTGGACAGAATGAATTGGCAGCTGTACATGCGGAAGAATCAATACTCGAACCTGAAGATCCTAGTACTCATAATGGACCTACACTTCGATCTACTAGAAGTACTAGAAGGAAATCTACTGCTATAGCACCTCCACCTGTTCCAGCTCCTTCGAATAAAAGAAGTAAAAGAAGATGAAATTCTGGAAAGTTATCAAGAATGGAGATTGGATGAGTTTTGGAATGTATTGGATTGGTTTTGTGTATCTGGGTAAAAGATCGTATTGAATTTGTTTGAATAAACTATCCGATTAAGGTTATTTTTAGAATTATGAAGTTTGGAAGTAAAAGAAGATGAAATTCTGGAAAGTTATCAAGAATGGAGATTGGATGAGTTTTGGAATGTATTGGATTGGTTTTGTGTATCTGGGTAAAAGATCGTATTGAATTTGTTTGAATAAACTATCCGATTAAGGTTATTTTTAGAATTATGAAGTTTGAATGGAGATTGTAAGGAATATGTAAAAGAGATTATGTTTCAAAAATAATTGTTAGTAATAAAAAATACAAATGAATGAACCAAATTTCTGAGAATGTCTTATTAATGATTTCTTGTCAATATGTGTAAAATGTTAAAGAGAGTGAATCAATACGAATGAGATAAGTGATACGGAAATCCCTAGTTCTTGTTATTTGGTAAACAATCTCCTTTTGTGGGGAATTTCATACTATTCCACTTGCGAAGTTGCAATCTTGTTTTTCTTTGTGTTTTTAATTACAAAACGCAAACTGTTGAAAATCACATCATATGGAAAAGATTTCTGCCCCCAGGTGTGAAGTTTGTCAAGATCTCATTCTCTAATGTAACCGTAGGATGTTTCTTTGAGGCATTGAAGTAGGCCAGATAATGATGTGAAGGGGGACTCATTAGGCTGAGTCCATGGGGAAAGAAAACCCTTGCATCTGAGGTTCTGTTCTGAGCAGATGGTCGAATTGCAAAACTAAAACAATGTGTAAGCTGGGCTTAAGGGATGTTTTGTACAAGTTTTCCCTCACGAAGCCAACAACTCTGACACAGTAAGGAGGTTCAACTCTAGTGTGGCCCAGCAACAAAATTCACAAATCCAGAGAAAGCTCAGCAGTAAAGTTCTTCTGGGGCTTGAAACCCGTAAATATCGAGAAAACATGCGAGTACATTGATTTTGGGAGTTCTTACTACACGGATGACTTGAACTGCCCTCTTGCTGATCAGGTTGAGTTCAGCCTAGATTTGCTATTGTTCCCAAGTAAGATGGAAGTGAATGTGTATTGTCTTCGAGGGGTTTCCAAATTGATTGATCAAGTCATTCAGATTTTGTCTCATGCGGTTAACAAAAAAAGCAGATCTCATGCTGACTTGAGCCTGAAGCTTCAACTTGTAAGGTGACAGTGCTCTTGTGATTCGTCAAACACATGCAAGGTCGGAGTTAGCTGCCATAACTACTTCACAGACTGGTTTGAATTACTTTCTTTTGATTTTGCGAAGCCTGGATCCAGGTTTTAGACGTATTTTGGAACAAAAGAATGTGTAGATATGGTCAGGTCAAGATGAATGACATTTACGTTTTATAAACAAGGGGACAAAGGCCCCTTACTCTCGGCATGAATATAACAATCGGCGTTTCGTCGCCGAACAAGTCTACTCCTTCCGTTTGCATTTGCTTGTTTACAAAATAAAATTACACAAAGGAAGATATGTGTTGTACTGCATATTCCATCGGCCGGATGTCTAGAGAGTCATCAGATTCTCGAAGCCATCCCAGATGTTGGGCATATGGGACAGCCCCACCGGTAGACAGCCCACACCTGCAGTTTAGCTTTCCGGACTTCTGGGAGCAGCCTCACGAAGTATGATAAGGAATTAGTACTTTGACGATGAAGTGAAAAATTGATACTTCAGCCTGACTTGCAAGCTCACGACACATCTTCCAATTCCACGGATTGGATGACTCATCCTTGTCTTTCTTAAGTCTAATGCATTCTCTGATGCCAATTTGCGCACTCAAGCAAGATCAAATGACAAATGTAGCTGAGTCATTCGAAGCATATCACATCATATGCCTTATCAACTTTTGATTATTTGAGCCGGCAACTTGAGTTAAGGCAAGAGCAGTTCCAACTCCATCAAATCTGAACACACATTCTCTCAACTCAATTGTATCGTTCTTCATGCTTCATTTTCTTATTTTCAACCGCAAGGGTATAGTGTTCATTGTTTTTCTGTCTTTCGGTACATTCTCATTCACTCAATCACTTGTCCTTTTCGTCTTATTCACTGATATGCATATCTGGAAATCTTCTTAGTAACAATTGCTTCAACTTATCCTCACAGTAAGTCAGGATCTTCAGCTATGGCAACTTCGTACGTCTCTTTTAGCGATATTATATGGTTCAAGTACCACTTACCAATTTGTTCTCTAACCAACCAAAACTCTCCTAGATCTACTAACGGCGGGCGAGCTAAGGTCCCTTCCCATACGACTTCAAACGCGTACGTCTTATCAACTGAAGAGAGAAAACCGACCTCATGCTTATTTTCACCAATATGTTTGCTATAGGTCTGGCACAAGAGCGCCGACATATAAAGAAACAGCTTTTGCAGGAGATGACTACAATGGAAATTGGAATCCCTTCAGAAAAATATAAAGCAGTTATAGGTCGAGACTGAGCCATTCTCTCAATATAGCAATCCGGAATTGTATTACATCGTCACCACGTTTTGACTAAGACCTCTGAAAAGAGATCAACAATGCATTTTGGTTCAATTAGAAAATAAAAGGCCAATTGGGGTTGAGATCTCTTATTCGATCCTTAACTCTGCAGGATCGCATGTCACCTTAGCTCTTTTCAATTCTGTGCTACTTTTGCGCGCTGCTGTTTTGGACATTCAATCTATCTGTTTACTCGTCTTATGCAGGCTTTGTATTCATATATATCATGATCATATCGTCATTTTCTCCATAAAGTTGTCAGATGGCTTCAGGTTCAACTTCATTATCATCATTTTTTTAATTTCATTTGTTTGGGTATGTTACATTAATGCCGTGAATTGTTTTCCGTGGTCTTGTGACTTTCCATTCAAGGTGCTCTTTAAGATAGAGCACCTTGGGATACACAATGATTGAGCACTGTGAGTGTACGACCATATGTTGAATTAATGCCCTCCTTTGGAGAGTCTACAGAGCCTCTTCACTACAATGAAGCAGGTGGCATCATGCAACAGCTAATGCGAATGTGGTCAAATTGGATTTGCTTCACGTGGAATCCATATCAAGGTTTGGAAAGAGAGAAGCCAATTTTTCAGCTTTTTCCGTGAGAGGAACATATCAGAATCATTTTCATGCGCTCATTCCCTGCTACAGTCCTTCTGTTTCAACCCCTCACACCTTGTGATTACACTGCCAATTTTTCTGAGGAAGTAGAGATGTGAAAAAGCAGCGCCGTGATTTGAAGCAATTAAAATACATTCCTCTAACTTGTATTCTTATGTTTGAGAGAAAAGAGCATCTTGAACCTTTCTTGACCTAGATTTCCTGGAAACATTGATGAATAAGGGAGACGTGATGTGCCAGAATTGAATCCTTACTGCCTCTTGTTACCCTGTACAGTTTTTCTAAGAACTTCATTAAGGTACCCTCCCTGACCTCAATGTTGCATGTAGAACTCCTGTACCACACTTTGGGAGCCATAGATTTAGTTCCACACCAGATCCCCCACTTCTTGATATCAAAGACACAGCTTATACTGTTTCTTCTTCATTGGGGCTGGTGCCAGTGACATTTGTATTGACCTGACAGGTACCAGATGAAGATGTTTGGGTGCTGAACAGAAGGAGGCTTCCAGGCCTACCTCTTTTATGTGGGTTGTCATAAAGTATAAAATTCATTAAAAACCTAATGAATATTTCAATCTGATCAAAAAAATCCCTATTGGCATCATGATCAGCTCTAATCTTGAATCTGTACCATGAGTGTATCAAGAGAACTGGAGTGAAAAAATTGTAAAAGGTAATCAAAGGACATCATTCTGTAAAATCCTTGAGAAAGAAACCATATCCTTGATCTATATTCTGTAAACCACACTCATCAAGATCATTTGAAAAAAAACATTTTCTGTATGTAAGAAAAACAAGTCAAAAAGCAGGGAGTTGTACTACTACCACTCATAAATCTGCAGGACTCCAATTGAATGAAACAAATGGAATTAGATCTATGACTAATTGACTATCTTTCTTCAAGAAATCTAAAGGTTTGTTTTCTATATCATGTGAATGTAATCCAGATTCCAATCAAAACTTTCAATCCAAAGTATCCACAACCATTTACAGACTCCTTAAATACCATCATTGTCTAACTCATGCCTAAATGGTTCATATAATCCTTCTTCCTTGATATGATGATCACCATGTTTTCCTTCCCAGACCTCATCCTCAGAGTCATGTGTCTTTGGACTTGAGGAAGCTAGAAAAATTCAAGATTCAGATTTGTAAGTCAAAAGATTCAACCATATGCAAAAAGTGAAGAATGATCTCAACTATTACTTACAAGAATCAACAAATGGTTCCAGATCATGATCATCTAAGAAGATAAGGTTGAACAAAATCATAGAAACATGATTATTCAGATCCAATTGATTGGAAGAAGACAGAAAGGTAAAGGATTTGTTATCTTTAGTGATCCATTGTAATCAAATCAAAACAAGAAAGAAACTAAAAAAACCTTTTACTCACCCCCACTTCCATCATGATATAAATCATCAAACTTCATTGGGTTTGTAGTTCTTGGGGATCCCCACACTGAGCAAGAAGCCAACACCATAAGCTAAACTCATATAAAACAAAACTAAAAAAGAAAATTGTGAAAAAAAGAAACAATATGAACTTCAAGACCCACATTCCATCTGTTCATTGTCTTCCAAAGTAGAGTATTTCTTAATCCCATCAACAGGTAAAGATTTCACCAAGAATGGAATGATTTGAAAGATCAAGAAGATAGGAAAAATCATGATACCAAAAATTACTTTTAACTATCTTTTAAAAATCTTGATAAGAAGAAAACCAAAAATTAAACTTCAACAAGAATTTTGTGTAGGTCAGATTTGTGATTTATGGAAAAAGGAAAAAGTTAGATTGGTTGGATTAAATTAACAAGCAAACTTATAGATTCTGATCATCAGACATTTTCATCCACCAGAATCTATGTTACATGCTTCATTATCTTATTTAGTGAATATCTTTTAGGTAATCTTCAAACAGGTATAAGAAATGAGATATGCAAACTCTAGAAGAAATCAATCATGATACAAAACAACAAATTCAAGATACAGTCAACTCTGATATAACTCATACCCCTTGTAATACATACCTCTGACCTAACCCATGCTTTTTTGGTGCATAATTTTCACTTTTTAGCCCAGAAGTCCATTCTGATAAGACATACTAGGACATACTCTATCAAAACCTATACCAAAGGCCGTCCATAAAATGGTATGGGTTATTTCAGAGTTGACTGTATTTCAGTATATCTTATACTGAGAGAGAAACTAAAGCAACTCAGAATAAACCTGAATCTGCTTCAGTTAGAGTACTCAAAGCCATTATGTACATGTACACGTCCCCACACTTAGGATCATGATCAGTAGGTTTGGCACAAACCCTGGCCCCGCCGCTACAGAACTTGAATGATTATGTAAAATCATTTGGAGGATACTTTTTTTGGCGGGGAAAATGTGGTCAAAAGTATAATTTGAGTACCCTAAACCTAAACCAAACCAAAGCTTAGTTCATCCTGTACTATAGTCACCAATCAAACTTAACAAGTAGAATGAGTTCTAGCTTTGGCATTCTATCATCTCATGTTTTACTTTTGGTATAATCTCCTGGGGTTATGTTTCATGATCATTGGTACAAGCAATAAAATTAAAACCTGCTGAAAAGACGTGGACAGATGATATGAAAGAAAGAAAGGAAGATAATGGGATTTTTTTCCCGGTTTCCCAGTTTTTGTTTTTGGCTGTGTTTGGAACTTTCCCACACTCTCCTAGTTTCCCAGTTTCCCAGTTTACGTTTTTGGCTGTATTTTGAAAACTGGGAAACTGGGAAAAAACTCCCAGTTTTAACTTTGTATCCCATAATTTAAATCAAACTTGAATCCATCAAACTGATAACTAATAATTTTTTATAATTCAACATATCATTATCACAAAAGCTTGGTTGATCAGGAGTTCAATAAGTTGAATATAATCAAATTCATGTATTGTGAGATGAATGAAAGGAATAATGATTCTAAATCCCAATTGAACGAAGAAAGAAGAAGACAATCTCTGGTAATCCTAAACATTCTCTCTCTCATCAAGACATTTCAAAAATAAGACAAACTCAGCCAGAGGTACACTAGAGGAATAGACAAAGATCCCACTTGATTCAAAAAACTTTATAATCATTCAAGATCTCATTTTATCTTGATTAAACTTTTCATCAACTTCCTACATTTTCAAAACAAAACATTCTACAAATTCTCTTGCTCTTTATGAAAAAAATACAAACTAAAAAAACTTAACAAAAAAACAAGGAAATTTTTAACTTGGAATTCTTATTCTGATTGTTGTCTTTTTGTTGATTGAAAAGAAAGAAAGAGTAATTTATCAATTTCATGAATTTCAAACAAACAAAAAACATAAGAAAATCAAAATCAAAAACAGATTCATTTATTATTGAAAAGAAAAAGAATTAAGCAAAATGATTAAAACAGATTTTGATTTTTTTTCAATGATTTTTGTTTCAACTTATAAAAACACAGACATACAAAAAAAACAATTTTGAAAAATGATGAGAATTAAAGAATGAAAAAACAAACGCGAAAAAAAAGAGATTCTATAATCCAAGTCTAAAAGGTTCATCTCAATCAATTGTATGAATAAAGAAAGCAAAACATAATGGAACAATTTGAATTCGAAACCCATCATCCTTCAATCAATTCAAATTCACCAAAAATCTAAGCAAAAAAGCAAAAAAAAAACAATCATCAGTCAACTTGGTAAACGCCAAAACTTCTTGGTAAGAAACGAAAAAACAAACATGATCGACATCATTCCATTCAGCCGATTCATCTCCTTCCATCTTAGCTCTCCCAACTTTCAGCCTTTCATCCCAGTAAGCAATATTAATTCCATCTGATGCTTTGACAGGTCCCCAAGTTCTTTCACCGCTATCTTCGTCTTCTTCAACCTTGAACCATCTAGGTGAATGTTCACGCAATTCTCCTAATTCTCGTCTTCTTCTTTTACTTCTTTGAAAGTCTTCCAATGCAGATTTCAATTCATTTGCTTTTTCCCATGCTCCTCTTTCAAACGCATGCTGATCTGGTCTTAATCTCGAATCTGTAGGTGGTAAGAGATTCTTCAAGGTCGGATTCACTGCATTTAATGTGATCGCAAAGTTTGTTAAATTGAAAGGTAAAGGTTCAAGGATTTCGTCATTCTTCCAAATTAACATATATTCTCGTCCTCGACCTTCGACCTTTTGATCCGGTGCAAGTTCTCCTCGATCTGATGGATTAGATCCTCCGGCCTTTCTCGCAATTAATTGAGTGGTCCATTTTCCTGCTAATTCCCACACAACTTTTCCGCTTGTATCATACACTGATCCCTTCACTTCGTTTGCATCTTTTCCTCTCCATCCTCTAGGCTTGAATGTTAATATACATTTCTCGCCGGTTCGATGATTAGTGATCTCCATATCCTAAATCCCCATCAAAGGTGAAATGTGGTTAGTTCCCAAAATACTTATAATAGACAAAGAAAATACTGACTCCATAATGATCAATAGACGGTGAGCCGAGTATAAAGTTGCTAACAATCGTCGTCACTTTCTTCCAGCTATAATGTTCTTCAACCCTACTTGTATCATCTGCTACTCGAGGGTAAGACTCAGTACCAGGATACGTATCAGGTAATTTCAGTGTAGCATGAGCTACTCCAGTAGGTTTGATCTCAAATGATTTTCCAGTGAATCGGTTCTTGGCATCGGTCTCTCCAAAATATTTCCATCGGATCGATTCACAGTAACAAGCACTTGTTGGCTTTGATCGAGGATGAAAGGGTGGACGTGTGAGCCTCGTTGCAATATGCATTGGTGATATGAAAAAGAGACGAAAAGTAAAAGTCGACTTACAGGATGATGACTAACTTGCTCCGAAACATATCTATATTGTTTATCCGGGTCAACATACTCAAAGGTTTCCCCTAACAAAGGGTTGAAAGGCCTAGTAGGTGAAGACATATTCATGTCAACAAATGTCAGACTGAGAGAACGCAGGGTAAAAAACTCACTTCGCAAGTCGACCAACTGTACTCGAATAATTACTCATCGCAAATCCCGCCACATAAGCGAGTCTGACTAAAGAGTCTGAATGTTCAGCGGCCGCATCCACTGAAAAAAGAAAGCAAAACATCAGCCTTTGTTCGCCTCCCTTTCTCAATCAAGAGTTTATCCAAGCAGTAGAGAAATAACTGACAGCATTCAGAAAATTGCATATCCTCAGCCATACGTTGTAACATACTGACCGGTTCATTGAAGGTGACTGGAAATGAAATCTTGGTAAGATCCTTTCCAATACTATTCTTCAAAACACCCCAGAGTGAAACAGATGGCCGATCATCAGCCTTGATTGGTAAAGTCTTTCGCTTGGTTTCGTATCCTTTGCATATGACAGAGATATCTAATTCAGAAACTCGATTGGTGTCCAATGACGCCTTAGACACAGCCATAGGTTCGACAGCTATGGCACCAGTCTCTATGGCTTCGAAAAACTCGTCATCGTCATCATCATCATCACTGTCGACCGACGATGACGAAGCCAAGGGATGAGCGGATGGAGCTTGGTGTACATCTCCGATGGGTGATGGATTGACAGCTCCAGGGTTTAAACTTGGTGCTAAGCCGGAAGGGGTGACGATCTGCTAGGAGCGATGTGATGAGTATAATGAAGCAAAATTAAAAAGAACAATTCATCAACTTACCTCACCCACATATTCACTCGAACCAGGCCCGGCCAAGCCCCCAGGAGTACCACTACTCATTCCAGCTCTCAAGCTCTTCAACTGTTTCTTCCTGCGACTACTATCTCTAGCCACGTTCTTCAATTCTTGTTCCATCTCCGCTTGAGTAGCTACAATCATTTGCATATTTTCTTCCCACAGCTTTTTGGCTGCCAACTCTTGTTCATATCTTCGAATATAAAACTTTTCACGTTGATTGACTTTCAAAAAGTAATCGGAGACCATCGTGTTGAGGTCTTGCATTGATCGTTTGAGTGCCTCTTTGACTTCGACTTGTCGTTGAGTACCCTTGATCAGACTAGACGAAGAAGGCGAGGAAGTTAAACCAAGATTCGAAGTAGCCGTAGGAATAGGAGAATTAGAGATCGTGATCGAATCAATCAAATGTTCAGTCATCTCAATGTGTGCCTTGACACTTTGAGAAAGTAAATCGAATTCATTGTCGAACGGTGGTCTTCCATCTTGCCCTAAAATTCCATAGTTGTCATCATCTGTAAAAGAGCCGGCAAACATACTTCCAGATGGTGATTCTTCTCCTTGTTCCGGACTAGAATTGTTGGTCTTGGGGGAGCGGTTCAAAACTCGACTGTTTCTGATCCGCTTAGGAACAAAACTCCTTCGGTGTGAGGCTGGGTGTTGCTCAGCGTTGCTGATTGAAGGTGATGAGGATTTGCGAACGAGGTGAGTTGGTTGATGAGGCGAGCTATCCTTGGCCAATTCAATGGCTTGTTTAAGTGCATCGACCCATCTCATGACTTCTACGGGATGAGCCCCTTTCAAATAAAATTTCGGATATGAACTACCTAATTTGGATGAAACTTCGAATCGTAGTTTATCTTTAGTGATATCGGGTCCAGTCAGGATTGCAACTGACATGGCAATCGACCCTCTGACAGCTTTTCCCTCATCCTTTTGATCTCGATAATAACTCAAATAACCTTGATTTTTGATCCGGAAGATCAGTCATTTGTCAAAGAAAAGTAGCAGACTCGAGATCAACTTACCGTTATCCAAGACTAGCCACCTGATATTGTAGCCCTTGGCCATATTGGTCCATTTGCTGAGATAACCTTTCAAAGTAGGTTGCTGAGTAGGAACCAGCCCGAGGGAAGTGGTTGGATTTCCCAAACCAGAGGAAGCAGAATGAGAAGTGACAAGACCAGATGGTTCAATTTTGCTTTGAGCGTGTGCTAGCAATGCTCTTCCTTCCGAGGTAGCAGCTACCGATACAAATACCGGAGAATTAAATCAGTAATCGCCCCAAAAACGAAGAATGAAATGATCGAATAAGTCTACTAACTCTGTCTGAGAATACCCTTGACTTTCTCATCCTTGGCGACATCAATTGGCATTTTGTTCTTACGATCTCTAGCCAAAACATCAGCTCCCCTACTAATCGCCAAACCTAGCAGATGCAAATCCCGTCTTCTAGCAGCTATAATTCGAACAACAGGTGAGTCTTTCAAGATGTAGCCAAAGAGATCAGGAAAAGCGAACTGACCTTCATGTAGAAGAGTCGTACCCGATTGTTCTTCTTTAAGATTATAATTAATCAATTTAGCACGCGGGCAATGCAAGAGTTTGAAGAGTTGATCAGCAGCCGATTCGTGATTGTTGATAGGAGTCTTGCTGGTTTCATTTGTGGATGGTGCGCCGATAGAATCAACTGCAGCTTGGCTGACAATCGCAGTTTGAGGAGATGCAATATAAGCCGAAAGTAAAGCCAAGAAGCTACCAGATAATTGAGCACGTGAGACTGAATATACGAGAAAAGCAAGAAAGGTCAGATGAGTAAAAGGACAGAATGAGTAAAAACTTGAATACATACCTTGAACCAATTTAGCTACTTCAGGATGTTTACAAACTTCTAAACAAGTCTTTGAATCAAGATCACGAATTGAATCATCGACTTGAGGTTGAGCCAAGAGAAGAGCTACTACATCGGTTCTACCCAAGGCACAGGCCACATGAAGCGGGGTTTGACCAGAAGCATCTTGAGTAAGGAGATGTTTAGGTGATGAATTGGAAAGTACAAGTTGAACGGTTTGAGCTGAATGAAAGAAACCAAAGATTAGCACTTGATTTGAGAACCACGAATCAGCTGAACCAAACTCAACTGCTTGCACATCTTACAGCCAAATGAAGAGGAGTGATTTGATAGATTGGAGAATCTGAATCATGATGTGGAGTAGTAGAATGATCTTGATATTGGTTTAAGAGAGTTAAGATTTGAGTTGAATCGCCTGAACGTAAAGCTTGTAAGAGTTTGAAACTACGAAGTGATTCATCGACTGAAGGAAGCGTAGTAGCTGTTTATATAGTCAAATCAAATCAAACCAATGGTCATCAGTTGGTAATCAAGTCAAGTTAAAGAAATCAAGATTTTACATTTCTTTGAATTTGGACCCAGAATCTTAGAATAGATGGATTGATTTGAATTAGAATGACTAAGTTGAGTACTACTGATCGAATGAAATTGATGCTGATTAAGTCGATGATTAGGTGATGAAGTTAAACTTGAATTAGATCTTGGTCGATGATCATCAGTTTGATTAGATTGACTTGGATTGGATGAAGTGATGGGAGTGGTGGGAAGGATTCGATTGGTTAGATTAGTAATCGTAGTGGGTGAGGTTTGGGATGATGGTGATGACATGATCAATCAGGATTGGTTGAGCTTGGATTGCTGTGAGATGAGTTCAATCGAATCAATTAAGCTTGGATTGCTGTGGGTTGAGTGGCTGTGATGATAAAGCGAAGAAGAAGTGATTAGTAAGTTAAGATGGAGAGAGGAATGTGAAAAGATGAGGGCAGACGGAAAGTAAAAGAAGTAAAGGGGACACAGTGTAGATTATGAGCTTTACTTTATATGGATCCGAGGCTGGGAGTCTTGCAAATTATGTAAGATCACCAAATCGATCATCGATGGTTCACTTTGAAATTCATTTTAAGCCATCTCATCTATCTCATCTCTTTAGTCAATCCATCGAGCAATCAGCTTTTCCGCTTTTGTTCTCAACTTTGGCTCAAATTCAAATAAATCTACTTTATCTTCTACTTCATCAATTCTTTAATTTCTATTTTTACCAAAACACTCATCTCATAGTTCTTTTCGCACAAAGACTTAAGAGAGTCTAAATCAAAATGTAAGATGGCATCAACCCATGCTGGTAACTTGGAAACTCGTCTTACAATCGATTCAAAAAGGCTTGTCCATCCCCGCCCATCGCAGTCAAACTCTAGCCAAGCCTCTTCTTGAGACCCTAAGTGTTCTGCCATCAGGGTGTTACGCGTCTGTTATTGGTTTCCTTGTAAAACGATAGGGGTTTCATGAAAAATCTCCCGAAAAATCAACATTGGTTGGAACTTTGGACTAGTTTGCAAAAGTTTAACCAATGTCTCCTTGAACAGGAACTCCCTCGATGCCATTCTATACATAGCAATCAACCAAAAAAAAGATAGCTACAAAGTATGTCATAATCATACCACTTCATTTTCATTATTTTCTTTGGATTCATGTCATTCTATACATACATAGCAGAGATCCAAAAACACTAAATAGCTACAAACTATGACATAATCAAACCACTTCATTCTCATTTTTCTTCTTCTTCCTTTGATTTACATGTTTTAAATCTTCAAAAACACATTCAAATAAAATAAAATTAACAAAAGAAAACCCCATTTTCTTTAATCCCTTAGCCTAGATTCTTCCATCTCCAATCTATCATAATTTTGATTTCTACTCTTTGAAATCCAATGGATCATCATCATCTTTTGATTTAAATTTCGATACTGACTCATCAAAATAAACAAAATTACTAAAATCAAAACAAATCCCATCATTGAAAACTTGGATGAATGTGGTATCCATTTTGATTTCATTGGGTTTTCACTTTGATTTCTTTCCCATTCGTCTAAATCAATTAGTTTATCTTTTTCTGATCGATGGGTTTCGTGCCATGCTTCTTCTATTCTCATGGGATGTGCCTATGATGATGAAAAAGATTTGGATTTTTTTTGAATGGTTTGGAAGCTTTTTAGGGATTTCTAATCGAACACTTACTTCAGTGGTGAATACATATTCATCCAAACTCAATACATCATCTTCAACAAATAGTAAATAAAAGTATCTAAAAAAGATTATCAAAATATAAAAAAACTCTCCAAGTTAAACTTCATTCAAAAAGAAACAGATACTTACTTCATAGTCTCAGCCCACCAAAAACTTTCCATAAAATCACCATACTCTGGACTTTCTCTCAACGGTCCATCTTCCCATCCATCCCATCCATCAGGTTGTAAACCCAATGACCGAGTAAAGTTTCGTGTAGGCATCCGATTGACTTGATTGAAAGGTGCAAATAAACCGGTTTGATGGGAAACCAAACAACATCTTTCGATCGATTGCCACATCTTCCATCCCATCTCTTGCCACTTTGGATCTCCTGTGATTCGAAAAGCGTAGAAAACTGACTGATGTAGTCGGGTTTGAATCAGTGCAACTTTTTTTGTCAAAATGGTATTCTAGTAACACTTACTTCAATCACTTCAGGTCGTAAGTAATATCTATGATAAATCAAAAAACAAAACCATCTTGAATGAGGTTTTCAAACTTCGAACTTTTTGAAACTACTTACCCTCCACTAGGGATATAACCAAATTCATCATAAAAATTTAATTCAATTCCATCTGGTGTACTTGATCTTCTGGTGTCTTTATCAATAAAGTCAAAGATTTCAGGACCCACACCTGAACTAAAATCAAAAGCAAAAAAGGATTCGAGTCAAACTTTTTCCGTAATGTAATGAATTCGAATCGACATACAAAAATAAATAGAATATCAAGATCAAAGAAAATGTATTAAAGCTTACCGAGTAGAAAAATATGAGTCTGCGCAAGTTTCAGTCTAGTTTAGATACGTGAACAAAAAGATGACATCAATATAAGATTCTGATAAGTCTTTTTATTAAAATAAAAAGTTAAAGATAATGTGACTTACTAATTTGAGTCCATAATCTACAATAGTTTGATTCTTAAGCATCTTTCCACCCAACATGAAATTCCCACCTAAAGTGCAACCCACCCAAACCCAAACTCAATTCTCTTTCTCAAGCTTTTAATTGATTCATCTCGAAATTCAAACAGAACACTGACCAACAAAGCAATCAAGATGAGTCATTCCATATACGACTCTTCCATGAGCTTTACGAGAAGCAAGAAAGGTTCTCTCTTTAGTCTTGATACTTGATGAAGATGAAAAGAAAGGTAAGTTGTAGAAAGACGTGGATGGACGAGTTGTAGCTGCAGAAGTACGGATCAAGTGCTTGAGAGTCGAATCGACTGCCAGTGCCCAATCTATTCCAAAAACAATCCATCGTTTAATATCAATTTAAATAGAAGTATGATTGGGAACTTACGAGTTAGGTACGAGGAGTCTCGGTTTCCGGTAAGTAAGCTGTATTTGTTGAGGTACTGTTTTTAACAACACTAGGGTTTAGCATCCTTCAATCCGGGGAGCATCCGGTAAAGAAGTTGGTAAGACGATTTACCTCGTAAAATGAATCTGCTGCTGGTCCCCATGTGACTTTTTATAGGAAAGAGTGCCGAAAAGAAATATGTTCGAATGAGTCATCTTTACCAAAGAGTTTATGATAAAGGATCAAAACCAATCACCCGAGTCTATTAAGAGTAAAAGCATATCAGATAAAGTATTTCATGTGATCATAGTTATGATTCTTACCAGAAATTGGACGAGCATTCATTGGATCCAAATCAACCGAACTGAAAAACCCCCAAAAGAAAATGTATATCTCAAGATCAAAACGAATGAAAAAAACAAAGATAAAGGAAAAAGAAAAGTTCAAAACGAAAGACTCGTACTGTAAACCAGGCCAGATTTGTTGATTGTTGATGATGGATTTCATGGAAGTTTCAACAAGATCAAGGTAAGTGGAATTAGTTGTATACTTTGAAAGTTTATAAAACTCTATAATTAATGATCCTGATTCTGCTAAATTTGTCTACCCCCCCAAAAAAAATTCAATGAATAAAGATTCTAAAAATTCAGAAATTAGAAATTTTATGGAAAGGTATACGAACTATGTTTCCATTTGATTCTAGTAAAGGTTTTTGATTTGTGAAATTCATTTGAGCTATATAAATCAAGTTGGATTTACAATCAATCTTTAGTGATCAAAAACCAAACTGAGGTCCAGACTTTTCCAAAGAAGACTTAAAGAATCACTAACGAAATGGTAAGATTGACATATTTTGCCATGCATACATTAATTGATCTGCAAGTTGAGTAGCTTTAGTGACCAGAATTTGATCTGTCCTAGCCGAACCTTCGTAAGCAGATAATAAACCTCCGATATATCGAATCTGATTATATTCAAAAAGTTTGGTGTAAGTTTGAATGTAAGGAATTATTTCTTGGTTCGGAGTTGAGATAATACTGAACTGTTGATTCGAAAACAGATACAGAGGATTTCGTTTTGGTGAAATCAATGGTATGAAGATGTCGAATAGCTTCTGAATATTCTTTCTAGAAAAGATTCATACTTGTTAAGATTTATAACTTTTAAAGATGGATCAAATTAAACGAGCTTTTTTGGACTGACGTTTAATTGCATTACTTGAAGAGTAGAAAGTGAATCCACCAGAGTCGCGCCCCAACCATTTCTAGTATCACTTGGTTTGAGTGATAAAGCACCAACTGTTTGATGAAAAAGGATTGAAGCTTCGATAAGTTACGTATTGTTGTTTTATTCTAGTTTGATTTACAGAGACAACTGACTTTCATCATGACCCCAAGCATGTGCTCGATAAGTACTCCAACCTTTTTGAAATAAATTACGAATATGATTAGCTCGAAGTTGAGAATCAGGACCTAGATGAATATGATCAGCTTGGATTTTGATGGCATTGAATTGGGAAAGCGAATTGAAGATGATGAAGAATGTTATGAAGATGTGGTTTGAGATTGATCGAGTTGAGAGATGATGAAGTTGAGATCTCATGGCTACGATTTTAGATTCTTGAGTGAGATGAGGTGAAGAGGTTCTTATACCAGTTCAACCATCCAGCAGGGTTTAGGGGTTGGTATTGGATCTACACCTCAATTTGATGGATTGAGTGATTGACCCACTGAGATTGTACATTCACCAACAAAGTCTAAACTGTCTTTTTTGGGCGATCGATCGTGAATCGTGATGGCTGCAGGTAGGGTTGTAAAATTTACTAAACTCATTTTCAGCAACTCTTCTACAAAGCAAGTCTTGTTCAAGATCCATCATCAGACAGACATCCTCAAAAGCATCAATTCTAGTGACGATGTCGAAAAGTGTAGAGACTCTTAACAAATCATAGGTTTTGATATGCTAGAAACAAGGAAACACAAAGATCAACAAGTTGCGATCGAGATCGATCTTTGCAAGTTCAACTAGCTTATGTAGTCGAGGTGCGTTCCTATGGATGGTTGATCAAGAAAATTCTTAGCATGCTGAGAACAAAATCTGATAGTTTGATACATAGGCTGCGCCACTCAAGTTTGCGGAACTTCGATTCGATCGAAATATTGAAACATTGAAGCTTGGACATAAATGAACCAGAAAGCTGCTGATCAAGGAAGTTCAAGCCAGATTGCAGGCAAAATTATCCAAACTTTAGATTGTAAGTTTCCTCGCTTCAAAAAGTTACAACCACGAACCTGAAGCACAGTGTTTTTTATTTCCCTTCTCAATCCACACGCGCAGGACTGAGAATAACAATTGTCACACTGCGCACGTTACAACAACATATCTCTATCATGTCTCATCGAGGTTATAACGATGAGTAAACCAGTCAGCTCTTCACTCAAACTCCCATCTTGCGGCTTGTAAGGAGTATAATGGATGATCCGTTTCATTTTGGATGTATTGAATCTGAATTCTTTACCTATCAATTCGTATTCACTCTTTGTTCTGGGATTCTTGGGGAAATTTCAAGTCTGGAAGATCTTAATTCGATTTTCTTAAACATACACGCCAGCATAGATAACGCAACCTATACCACTTTCCTTTTTTTAATCAGATTCAAACTTATCAATTTGCCTTTAACCCTCTTCTTTGGAAAGGGATTCAGCACTTCTCACAAACATCTCGGCGGCTCTCGGCCTAAATACGGGAATATCTCAACAACTGATACATATATAGATTCTGTATCTTCATCATGAAGTACTGGCAGCAAGTGATTCTTTATCTGTTGTACCATCTACATGGGATCTATTCTCAACCTCAACTCCCTGAAAAGGCCATAAGGAATTCTCCGAGTGGATCATATGCACCTCAAAAAGTCATCTGTCCAGAAGGCCTCCACGTTCGACAGGCTTCAATCCAGGTTTCGTTGCTCTCCTTTCTTTCTTCATTCAATTCATTCGAGCTGATATAATCTTGTGTACATCTTTTCAGGGACCATTAGCTAGTCAAGAGCAAGAATATGTGACTAGTAGAGCTTCTAAATCAATTCCGATTTGGAAAGAATACCTTTCAAGAGTTCGACTTCATGATTTTTCTGTTGAAGATTTTCTAGAGAAGGCAGAAGCTGAAGGTGGGAAAGCAGGTGAAACGCTTCCTAATGTTGGTTTAGCTTTTAGTGGGGGTGGTGTGAGGGTTAGTGAAAAAAAATCTTACCATAGAAATGATGGATACGGTTCTTTGACTGAATTGATTTGATATCACAAAAGGCTACTCTGGTTGGTGCATCAGTGCTGAATGCGCTTGACTCCAGGAATGAGGAGGCCTCGAATGCAAGAACAGGTATCAATTTGATCATCTCGACATGAAATCATTTCCAGTCCAAAAGATAAATCTAAAACTTTCCCGTGATGATTTATAGGCGGCGTGCTTCAGCTGTCAAACTACGTTGCGGGTCTTTCAGGGTGGGTTCAATGTTTAATTGAAAGATGAAGACATATGGTATCGAAAAGAATAGCTGAATACAAATTCTTTTGATCTATCTCTTAATTGATACTACTCAGAGGCTCTTGGCTAGTAGGGTCTTGGGTCTGTCTCCTTGCGCATGATAAGAACCCGAACTCTTGAGAACGTCACGAGAATTGAACATATCTTTCTGATCGCAATGGTGTCTTCCTTTTCTAGGTAAGTCAGATACATTCCATCATCAATATCATATCTACATATCTCAGTAGCTTTGAAAAAAACAATATTGACGCATCCTTCCCCCCGTTCTACTGTAATAGGCTATCTCGGATTTTCCTACTTTGCCTGAACTCAACCGCACTGTATGGCGTTTAACAAATCACAATCAACCTATGGACTTAGCCACGATTTTCCAGTATCCTCATTTCATAAAGGTCGCGAAAGAAAAAAAGAAGGCAGGTTTCCTAGCTAGCTTAGTAGAGTGAGTGAAACTCGAGTTTGCTAAGGACACGCGATAAACCGAGTGGATTAATGATCGACTTCTAATTTTGATATGAAAAGCGTTTGGAGTGCAATGATATCTGCACATTTCATGTAAGAAAGGCTAATCTCCAATTGAAACCATTGAAAACTGATTCCTGTTCTAATGATCAACCGTATTAGAAACGACGACGACGAGGGAAATGAAGTTCTGTTTTCATCAATCAGAAATGTTTCTCATTACAAGGACCACACTGCACCATTTCCCATAGTGACTGCGACTTCTAGGTACAAAGGAACAGGAGAAATTGTGATTGGAAGCCCTACATGTTAGTTTTGATGTTTTGATGTTTTTAGACAACCCAATTCCGGAATTTGTTTTACATCATGATATTGATTTGGTATTGTTATTGCTCTGTAGACGAATTCACACCCGAAGAGTTTGGTCTATGGCATCCATCTCGTAAGACTTTCAAGCGATTTATAATCTATGGCGAATTACTGTGTTATGATTGGCTCACCGTGTCTTTCTGTCGATTTGGATGGTTCAGTAAATGCGTTTATTCCATTGGATTATCTGGGCACGAGTATGCAAGGAGGTGTTCCTTCCCATGATGACTATTGTGTCAAAGGTCAGAGATTCTCTTAGGGTATTGAGCTCTTGAAAAACCTTGCAAGACATATTGATGTGTGAGGTACTATCCGGACGTTCTGTAGGATATGATAATGCTGGGTGAGATGTGTGATGCTTTCTATCTTTCCAGTCAATCTTACTAAACTCTGTGAATCTTCTGCATACCAAAATTCAAGTTTCGTACTTGGAACCAGTAGTAATATCCTCAGTCAGTCAGCAAATTCACAGCCTTCTGGTACATTGTTCAGGCTGTTCTCAGGATTATGGAGATTATGTGTGTCAGGCATATATGATGAGGCACTGGTAAGTATTGAAAGAATCGAAGCGCTATCTGATCAGTAAATGTCTCCTAACGTACTTTGTTAAATCTTTTGTAGATCCCAAATCCATTTGTCGGTAAGGGATCTTTTGGCCTTTTCGCTCATGATTTCTTAACTGATATGGATGATTTCTTCTCAACTATTAGGGCTGGGTGTGGGCTTTGGACCTGGAAGTGGCTATCCAGGTAGGTGTTCCGGAGATTTCGATCTGAAAAAGTACAATGTTCTTTGGGCTTATCTTTCTTCTGAAGATAGGGACTCGGACAAACTTTGCTTAGCAGACGGAAGTTTTGCTGGTGAAGACATTCGTAAGTTCAATGATATGTCATTTTACAGATGTAATCAATTTTCGAAGTCTCATGATCTCCTAATTTATCAATCAACAAGCATTGTGGCCTCTGGTGATACCTTCACGCAAAATGGATGTGGTCTTTGCTGTGGATGCTCGCTCAGATGGAAGACAAGCAGGGTCGCTGACCGGAACTGGATATTCGAATGGGACATCAATATACAATGCATATCTCAAGAGTCAACTACCGGAGTATTCAGCGTATCCGTTCCCAAAGTGAGTCACAGGCATAAATCTTGAAGCGTTATACTATCAAGTTTCTCAATACCATTAGTTGATCCTAACAACAAATATTTCACAGGGTTCCAGATCCTGCCTTAGAGGTCAGTCTTGAGCTAGTTCTCGCACGACATTTCATTGATCCTAACAACTGATGAAACTTTTTGACTCTCTTGGGTGTGGTTGATAGTTCACTGAGAAAGGACTTCATCAACGGCCGTCGTTCTTCGGGTGCAATGAGACTAGTCCGTTGATAATATACTTTCCAAATTACTATGCTGCATCGCCAACCGATGTCGCAACGGTCAAGGCGACTTATACAGTGAGAAGATCTCATAGCATCATTCTCTATGTATCCTCGTAAAAGATATCCATCCAAACTCTTCAAAGCCTGACTCTATCGTGATTTGTAAACTCACTTCAAACCTAGGGTAAAGAGATTGATGGTTTTTTCGCCAACGGTTTCGGTTAGTACAAGACATATCCCTCTTTGTCAATTCATAGAAAAGCATTAAATCAGTTGATGTTTAAACTTTTCAAAATAGCTATCACAACTCAAGCAACAGGAGCTTCTTTTGAAGATGGATTTTCTCCTGGACCTGAAATGCAAGGTGTTTTAGACAGAGTTGGACCGATTGACAAAACAGATTGGGCAGCTTGTTTAGCTTGTGCTTTGATTGATAGACAAAGAATTAGGAATGGACAACCTCGGACAGTACAATGTGAAACTTGCTTTTGGCAATTCTGTGCCTGATATTGAGGATCTGTACATACATACATACATAATCAACTTTTGATAAAGGGCGTGTTATATTTTGCTTTTGATTTTCTCAGTCTCACTGGCTGTCAATCTTTCTATTAATTTGGGGTGATAATCAAGTATAGATGGTTTTATTCTTGCCAGTATGATGCACCCAGGTGTCAAAAAGCGGCTCAATTTTTTAAAATACGTTGTGATAACATAAAAACTCTTTATGAACCTCAGGCTCAAGGGAGTAGAAAATCATCCTTTTCTATGTTGCACGTATCAAGCCTATGGTTTACAATGTGGAGAATCTCCTCAAAATTTTGAATTTTTGAGAATGAGGTTTCCCACCCAAGACCAAGAACTCTTACTATCTGTGGTTGCCCCACCAGCCATTTCACAAGCATAGACACCTTCAAGCATCCTACATGCATTATGTTAAACGACTCAAAATCAAGAAATTCTCTATCTTGCGAGGCTTCAAGAGAGCATTCGAAGTCTCACGGGAAATCTCACATCAATTTGGTTGCTCTAACTTACCGGCCGTCATACCATTGAGCGCCAGGGGCGCCATGTCCGGGGCACAAGAGATCATCAAAAGATGATGAGGTATTCGAAATGATTTGATATATCCTTTCAACCCTGTACAAATGATTTCACTTGATGAATAAGGTTAGACAGCTTAAGAAACAAAAGAAAATAATCCGATGAAATCCATCAGTAGTCCAAAGTTGCGACCTATGATTGTGATCTTGGTATGGGTCCGTCAAAGGCAATCAAGTACCGTCACGGCAATTTGTACAAGCTGAAGGAATAAAAAGGCTCTCGTTAATGAAGTGAAGTTTCCAGAGTTTTGGGAATGGACTGACTTATCCACACAGGATTTTTTGGACTGCAGGTGTACTCGTATCTCGCGTGGTTGTAACAAGCTGAGCCAGTTGATCCGGATGTAAACGCAAACAAAATGCTGGAGTAAGCCATGAGAAGCAAGATCATTGAAAACTTGGCTACGCACAGTATACTTTGTTATCGGCATGCCACTCGTACTCTTCACACCGCTGTATACTGGGGCCCGAATTTCCAAGTCTGCAGTTATCCATTTGGGCCCATTTATGAACTGAGATTGGCGTCATTTGATCAATTTACACTAGTCAGCTTGCTTATGAGTCTTCATATCTGAAAATGTGTTCCACGAGCAAAATACTTACCCCCATTAGAGCAACTATCGATTTCGCAGTTGCGTTGGCTGTCGTCCGATTTGTCACCCCAACAATCTTTGGAATAAAGCAGAAACCGATCAATCTCAAGTTCAATTGTGTGGGGAATCGTGTGCGAGTTGAACAGACAAAAAGCGTAACTCACCAGCGGGATCGCTTCCTCCCTGATATCCGCCTGTGCATGTGACTGTAAACGGCACCACAGAGGATACAAGCGCACAGAGACAAACGGCTGAGACTAGCGCGGCAAACTTAAAAGACTGATGAAACATCTTGGTGTGCAAAGTAATCAAAACAGCGACGGAGGTAATGGAGATGTCAATGACAACTGAGAATTGTGAAGTAAGGTGTCTTTGGGAGTGAGGAAGCTGCTGAGAAGTGACTGATATGTGCCTTCTGTCTTGATATTTATATATGAGGCTGACCTCCGATGCGAGAAGGACGAGGTGTGTTCTTTGGCTGTCCGCTGTGCCCACTTCCTGGATAAAAGAAACTCCAAGAATCTTCTTGCAGTAAAGCCAACTGCCGGTGACTCGGATTGAAGGCTCTGGTGGTGGTTTCCTGATTCTCCTGTTTCCGCCATTCGACCATGGTTGTCCCCAATTCGGAGGAGAGGCTGAAACTGTTTTTCCGACGCAGAAGCTCATCAAGGGCATTTTCGGGCACAAACACGACTCGGGTTCGTCGGTGGCTTCAAAGCCAATTCAGCATTCTTCCAACCAACTCAACCAACATAATCGTGAGCTAGATGGGAGAGATGCGGTATCAGTCTTTCTCTGAGACTACCTGAGAGAAGCAGTGAGACATACAGGTATAGTTCAATCCCGGTCTGTGTGGCGCGTTTTTTTTCGCATGGCGCTTCCTTCTCTTTATAAGCCTTCCACTAACTACAGAACATCTAGACATCCATTGGTCAATTTCATTGGTCAAAAATAATACATACAAAAGACGATCGAGTTGATAAAATGCAAAATGAGATGTCTTGAAAAGCAGAAGTTGGAAGCATTTTAGGTTGGTTGAAAAGAAGTGATATCGAGTCCTTTTCGTGAAGATTATACATACAAAGAGACAGTTTGAAAAGATGGCGACTGAGTCGTTTTTGAAGAAATCAAGACAACGCAACAGATAGAAACCTCTTACATCAAAGTATCTCGCTCCGATGACAATGCATTGTCTTTCTTGTATCGGTTTTGCTTGCTACTTTCATTCAAAGTAGCTTGTTCCAATAACATTTTGTTGTTTTGTAAGTTGCTTCATTATCAATACTTTGATATGTAAGTGGTTGTAGCGATAGAACCCCCTTGACAATGTTTCAGGGGGATTGGAGTGAGTCTGAAGGTATAGATATAAGGTGCACATGGATGACTCGACAAAGGTTCTTGATTCTTGATGAGGTTATCGAAGTGTTAACAGCTTCTTTGAAGTCTTAATGATGAATTTGTTCAAGTCTTCATACATATGTACCAGTTGCCACCAGCCTGTACAGACAGTGTACAAAAAGCCACCATCCGGTTTACTTTTTTGTTTGTCTCAGGATAGTCTCAGAGCGAGTTAGTCTCAGAAAAAGACTGATACGGTTACGCTCCCAGCTAGATATGTATTGGGGAATACGAAACTACGCAGATAGGGGCCCATAGCGCGGTCAGTTCTGACGTCCTTTCTCAGTCTGTCCAGCTGAGAGCAACATGAATCAAAGGAATCTGCTGCCTACAAGAGCATCACCACCGGACCGACCAAATCGCAAAACTTACCTCTTCCCGTATTTAGCCACCCTGACGTGATTGATGTTACATACGTGACACTTCGAGGGTTTGATTAACCAGAAAAGTGATCAGGGTTTGCTTACAGGCTGCAACGCAGCAACGACAGCGCTCACTCTTGCTCGCGCCGCGCTCGTATGTGCTCGCCAGTTCCCCTGGGTTTGGTTTACTCTCGCTCTGAAAATCGTTCAGAAACGTCTCAAATGAAATGAAAATGAGACGGTTCTGGAAAAGGTTGGTTTCAGTTCCGGTCCGGTCACTTTTGCCCCCTGGTGTACACCACCGGAGGCTCCTGTGCCCCAATTTGGTCCCCTGCGGCCGAGATCGGGTCGGGCCCAGAAGCCGCCAGCAGACTGAGATCTGTGGCCCCACAGCCACATGTCAGACGTCAACCTCGTGATCACTGCAAGTAGCACTGCAGGCCTACGTGATCCTCCCTAATGTGGCCGCTCAGCCGCCGCATGAAGTATGACCACACCCTTGCTCCGCTGCACAAAGGTTGCCGTTAACAGTGCTCACACCTATTGCCCACCTCCGTTCTGCCCTTTGCACACACCTTTTACACTCACCAATCACACTCACCACACGCCAATTGCACCACTCCCAGATATGGTGAACTTAGCGCAACAACTCCCATGTCCCGATCGTTGTCAGTTTCATCCACCCCTCCACTTGAATATTCACACCAGAGTCCAGTTCACTTAGATTGTCATCTTTCTTGCAGACATTACTTTGCAACCGCACGACTCCAAATTTCGCTGTGAAATTTGCGGTGGGAGGAGCATGCGTGATTATTGGCCTCATATCACGGCCGAAGGTCATCAAACATCCATCCGCCGCCTAGTCGAACAACAGGCTGGGCACGAACACATGTTAACGGGGGTTCATAGTCCCATGCACCCTGATAGCCCTATCCTGCCACCGGTGATTGTTGATGGCGAAGGTCCACAATTGCCTACGCCTCAAGAGTCACCTCCTCTTTCGCCACTGACCCTGCTCCGCGGCTTCAATCGCACCGAGAGACAAAACAATGACGACGACACCTCGGACGACTCGGAAGGCCCCATAGATTTTAACAGCTTGAAGCAAGCACTTGAAGCGCTTGCTCAGGCTCAGGATGAAGGCACTGATGCGGAAAACAAAAACAATGTCCCCCCTGACGATTCAATCAATGAATCGGATGATTGGTACCCCTTCAAACGAAAAGAGGTAAGCAAATCTTTACTCCAGTACTTGCCCTCCCAATTGAAACACTGACGCATTCCAATTCTACTCGAACAGCAAGTGGTTGCTTTGTTGATTATTGGCTCCAATCGTAACATCCTTTCGCGGTCCCAGTACCAGAGGATATGATCAGTGTTACGCATCTGTGATGTGAACCTACCCGAGTGGGGTTCTGTAAGAGCTTTGAGCCGTCGTTTGAAGAGCAGGTTGGGAATTAAAATCAAGGAGCGGCTGAGTCCCTCAGGCATGCCCCTTTTCGGACTTGATGTTAAAAATATCGTACAAAATGTGAGCCCTTCAATTTCTTGGACACTTTTCCTTTCAAGGTCAGCTGATGTGTTTGTACATAGGAGCTTGCGAACCCATTGGTCAGCCCCCACCTTGTTTTTATCCCAGAACTGGCCACCGACGAACCCACGAATCGCCTCTCCCAAAGCCAAAAATGGCGCGAAGACTACTCTCCAACTTTACGGGTGCAAATGGTTGTTTTGGCAAACAAGAAACACCTTTACATATACGAGCCTGTCCAGCTACAAACCCATCAACTCGTAGTCCCTATTTTCTTTTATCAACAACACGGAAAAACTTTGGCTAAGTGTCTCCCGGCTGATGTACAACCCCATGCTCGTCAACCAAACCATTTCCACATCATGTTGCCAGAAGAGCGTGGGTTTCAATCGGCTGAGCTGTACACCATTGACGTCAACAATATCTGGAAACAATTTCACGAGATCACTATGGACGACGGTGTGTTTCTCAAGGATGTATGTCGCCGTATGTATCGTAAGTCGCTTTGCCCCAAGCTTTTTAAGTCAACCAGGACGATCATATTATCTTTTGATCAGAACTCGATGGCTATGACTTGTTCACCATTCCCATGGTCAACCCATGGCGGGAAAAAGCACAAGGCAGGGTGATTCGACATGTCCCCCTCACCGTGTACTCTGACGACACCTCTGGAAACGTGTCTAAAAAATTTAACAAGCACATGAGTATTTATTTTACTCTGGCTGGTTTGGCTCCTGAATGGACGAACCAAGAGTTCAACATCCATTTTTTGGCGACCTCGAACATAGCTTCGGCACTAGAATTATTTGATCAGATTGTGGATGATATAAAGTAAGCGCCCACCAACTATATGTATCCATGTATCAGGAATTCGCGTGCTAATGTTACACTCTTTCCCAAAGCGACATTGGTTCAAACGGGTTTTTTGCATATGACCACTGCCTTGGCGAGGACGTTCTAGTTATGGCGGTGGTCCTTTGTCATGTGGGTGATTCTCCCATGCATGCCGAGATATGTAATACAACCAATCCGGCCATTACCCTCACACCATGCCGAATATGTCAACTCCAGGTGGCGCGTCAGGTCAATAAGAAAGAAAACCGTTATGTACGAGATTTTTTGGGTCGCAACGACCTGGGTCAGAAAGTCAGTATCCCACATTCATCTGCTGTATTTCCGTATATCTTATATTTGCATTGTTCAGACCGAGTTACCTAGCCGCGATTGGGAGGTTACTAGATCACGCACCCATGAGGTGTGGAATCTTGCGCAAAAAAGCAACTCAAAAAGCCGGATTGACGAGAAGCTGCGCGAATACGGACTGAAAGACACGGTCACCGAATATTTTCACAAGAAGATCCAAAGTGCCCATAACACACTATCCTCGAGTGATGTTGAACAACTGTTCAACCAGTTGAATAACGAACAAGGCCTTCATCTGTTCAATCCCTTCCTCAGGCTGCAAGGTATGTGTTAGGAAACAAATTTGTCATTTTTGCCTCACTCAGGTTTTTCCAAACTCTTTTCTCAGGTTTCGACGGACATAAAGATACACCTGTCGAGAGCCTTCATGTTGTCTTGCTAGGTGTGGCCAAATACTTGTTTCGTCATACCATGCACGACCTATCTTTGAAGCACGGCTCCGCCGATCTTGATGATGTCTTTGCCAAATGGAAAACCTTTTCAATCAAAGGACTCAATGTCCCTCCTATTATCCCAAATACCCTCATTCAATTCAATTGTAGCCTTGTAGGGAAAGAATTCCGCACAGTCCTTCAGACTGTGCTTTTCGTTCTTTTCGACCACCTCTCAACCGAAATGCGACATCTTTGGACCTCCTTATGCCTCCTTGGATCCTATGTCTTCCAATCGGAAATTACCGACCTCGACTTATATCTGCAAGAGTTGGATGCACACATTGACAGCTTTCTGCATCAAGTGGTGCGCATGTCGGCTCAGTGGGTGAATAAACCCAAGTTCCACATGTTGGTGCACCTCCGCAAGTGTATTCGGCGTTTTGGCCCAGCGATGCTCTATTCAAGTGAAAAATTCGAGTCTTACAATGCCTCTTTGCGGAATGCCTCCGTACACTCTAACCGACAGAGTCCTGGTAGGGATATTGCAAATAACTTCAATAATTTGGTGCTTTTGCGAGTGTTGCTATCTGGGTCGTCTTTCTTTGATCATGAAATGCAGGCCCGTGTTAAAAGTGGACGAATGGTGACAGGATTATTAAATCAAATTCCAGAGTTGCGCGTGGCAATGGGATTGTGAAGTGACCGTCCCTCCAATGACGATGCGCTCTTCACCGCCGGAAGTGAGTGTTCCAAATATTTAAAGCTGATGATGTGTAGCTAATTATCACACTTTTCATCGTCTCCCAAAGAGCTCAAAGAGACTCAGGGACAGTATCCTGAATGTTTGGCCCAATACGCAGGTGAACCTCTTCAGGAACTCAACAGCGTAACATTACCGAAGGGCCAAAAGATTGAACCCGGTGATTTTGTTGTGGTAAGAAGCATTTATTTCCCAACTGCTATCTCGTCTGCTGTGAAATAAGTGCCAACAGTGAACATTCTTTGATTTCTAGTTGCAAGACTGCGATGATATTTTACGGGTGGCTTCCATATGGAAGCCTGTCGGCCGTTCACCATCGCGAACACTCCTGGTATTTCACATCTGCCACCGTGGGCGCATTTTGCCTTTTTATGGAATGCGTGAAGTAGTAGTCACAGAAGAGCAAACATTTAAGCCAGTGAAGGTAATAACTGACTTACATACATATTATTTCCAGGAAACAAGCAGTTAACAACGTTCACTCTTTTTCTAGGCAGTCCAGTGCCTAATCAACGTTCAGCACAATTGTCACGATGGCAATTGTTCTGTTGGGCAATCAAACGGACGCCGACTCGAAAGGAGAGACGTGGGCAATTCCATTCCGATAATCTCTCACGACGAGTCAAAATCTTACGTTTTGAATTTGGCGGCTCACTATTCCGCAGGAGTGCACAGGCACCTATCTCGAGTTCAAATATCCAACGTTCAATGTGAACAATGGAATGAAGTAATAGAATTGGGAATTCGAACGTGGAAGGCTGTTCCGGTGCGGCCACCGCAACCACGCAAGCGCAAGGCCAAAAAGATCACACAGGACGAATCGTCTTCAGATAGTGACTCTTAAACCTTCGACGGGCCCAAAGTGGTCCTTTGTTTCCCAAAATATCTTTCTGACGCGCAAATCGCCTTTCAAACACTCTGAGATTTGTCTTTGTTATTGGGTCCTTTCTTTGCGTTGGAAAAGCACCTCCAATTTGTTCACATCTGGTTATGTTGCTGTTGTGAGGCGCGAATCCCCTTTCACACTCGCAATCCAACCTGAAACTCCTTTTTTGGGTCCTTTAGATTGTTTGAGAGAAGATATGGTTTGACCAAGAACACAGATTGATATGGTGCACCTTTGAAAATGAACATCTTTCCTGAGCGGACATGCCTTCCGAAATTTTTCCATTTTTGCAAAGGGAAATTGCAAACTTCTCACTATTTGGCTCGCTTTCTCTGGAAAAACCAGTTGAATGACCAACAAGGCTCTCCCTTCAATTGTGGCCGTGGTGTCTGTTGTGGAGGTCCCACAGGTCAGATTGACTCATGTCTGTCCGTTGGGCAACAACACGTCCACCTTTCGCGGGTTCTGATTGGTCCACCAGTTTTACATCAGTGAAGCGGCTTCGCTGATTGGTTGAATCATCTTTGACACGCGAACAAGCTCTCCACTGAAGTGGTATGTGCGTTGGGCAACTCATTCCTGCAGACCTTTTCATTGGTCTGCACTTTCAATATCATAATCGCCATCACTGGATGGAAGTTTGACCTTTCAGACAGACACATTTGAAAAGCGCACATTAACGCGTTGACGGTCCCATGGGCGACAAGGCGACTTTGGGCGGCTTCAGAGTGGTCTATCATTTCACCATGGGTTGAACATGCCATCAGGCGCAATCTTGCCCCCCTGGGTTTACTTTTGTTTTGAAGGTTTAAAATCAAGTCATTCACTCAGCTTTTCTCCCAGTCTCATCGTTTTGATCCACACCTCACTCGACTCGTCTCTTATCAAACCTTTTTCAAACTCATTTTCAAACCCTATTCTGACTTTTCTCAATTCAAACTCTATTCACGTTCAACGCACACCATGTCTTCACAAAGATCAAACATCACGCCAACTGTTCAGAACATGAACAATCACTCCCTCCTTCGTCGCAATGGCGTGCTAAGCTCCACCACCCTCCGTTTGCGCGATCCACGTGCCAGTTCTCCCTCACGTCCCACCGGAAGCGGTGCTGGACGTCTGTCCCAAAGGGATCCCCGCTCGCCAACTCCAGAGCGTGATGACTTCACCACCGAGCCTGTCACTTCTCGAGCCCTCTCTTTGGAGGAGTTGAACCTTTTCAACACCTTGGCCATGGATGCTGGGTTAGACCCCGCCAGCAAACAACGTGCGCAAAAACACGCGGAGGTCAGTAAACTTACAGCCCAAGGTTGACAATGGCGAATAACTGACACATCCCCCACCTCAATCTTCTTTTTTTCTTCTAGGTTTATGGAAGTGTTCATCAACACATCGCCCTCGCTGTCGTTCACGCGAAAACTCAGTTCGAGGTTTCCAACCTCAGTCAGAAGATGGACCGACTCACGGAGAAGCTTGACGATCTTCTCACTACGGTTAGTGCCCAAACTGCAGCGTTGTCTCCCGCAACTGGAGTCAATGCACCTGGTTCGGTGCCTTGGGTTTGCTCTCAGGAACTCCATGTATGTTATTCCGTCTTGAATCTCAACCTCTTGGTCTTTCAAAGCCTTACATGTTTCTCCAACTGCCTCAGGATTTAATCTGTTTGTTAGCAAACAGATTGATCCTGATCCCCAACCTTCAGTCTTATACGGCTTTGGAGATGGATCATGTTTGGCTCCCTCAATCCCTCTTCATCTCGATTAAAGTGAGTTGTTCCCCTGTATCAGAACCTCAATCGTTACAAACATCTCACTTTTTCGATCATTCTGTTCTCTTCATCTTTGGTTGCTCTTTATCATCCGCTCTTGTATTTTGACTTTAAGCATCAAATCAATCAACAAGCCGCGGATTGGTTGGCTGAGCACCTTCCACACCACGACAACGGTGTGCAGGATGGGGCTGGTACCAGAGCCTACAACACGTGCATCAGAAATGCGTGCAAACACGCACGTGAAAAACTACACAACCTAGTAAGTCGTTCATCTTGCTCTCCTCCCCAATTGTTTGGGCCGTTCCAGTTGAACGCTTCTGACCGATTACACAGCTTTTAACTGGAATCTATGATGCCAAGACTGGCGATGTAGTTGATAAGCCAGTCCCAAGCCTCAAGTCCCTCTGGCATCGAGTACGTAGAAGATCATGTTCATGCTATCGTCACACACCTATTAATGGTCAGTTACACAGATTGCAAACAGGTTTGCCATCGCTGGCGCGCATGCCGATTCAAACTCCTTATGGGCAGCTACTGATTCAGCCACACGAGCACGTATGGCGTACCTCGTAAGTTTGACTCTTCCCGTATCTCATCAACCTCCTTTGTCCATCATCGTTTTGATTTGTTTGTCTGGTGTGACCTCGTCCAGCGCCGTGAGGCCGTCCGTATTTTCCAGATTGGAAGAGGATCAAGCTCAATCTGGGCTTGTGCTGATGCCCAACTTAACAAGATGCGAGTCAAGGGGGATGACTACACCGCCGCGTAAGTACATTGAACACTCAAAATTCCAGGTGACTTCCAGAGAACTCAGCTAATACATAAGTACATATGCAGTTTCTTGAAATATGTATACGATCAAGATGTTGAGGCCTTTAACTTCAAAAACTACTTCGAAGAGCTGAAGGTCAACTGTGATTTCAAGTTGCCAAGTGATGATGAAGTTGATGCTATAATCGCAGACGAATGAGCGATGGAGTCCTTTATTTGGCATTTTCACTTCTTTGTTCTCCCCATTATTTTGTTGTCAAATCTGAAAGATTCCCCCCCAAGAAAGGTCCACCGGTTGATTTCCAACAAATACATCAAAAACCAAACCAAAAAAACACTCGTCTTCATTTCTTTTACAAACAAAACATTAAAACAATAAAAACATGTTCTTGAAATTTTTGTCTACCTACTTCCCTCTGATCTATATGTGTGCGTCTGATTATGTAACTACTCTGATGGAATACAACATGCTTGGGTATTGATCCAGTTAATTCCTCCACTTTTTGTTTGTTGTGCGTCACTGAGGGCTATCTGAGAAAATTGAGGCGGGCAAGTGCGCCGCGCTGGATGCTGGTTTTCACGCCTCGACCCAGTTGCTGGCCGGCGACTGTGATTCGGCTCCCAGTCAGGTTCCTTCTGTCTGAGGGCTCGTTTCGGCGGTCTTTGAGGGACGCAACGGTGCCGGTCTACGTGAGGGCCACCTTGCGTTGGCCCTGCCGTGCGGAGGGGTGGACCAATGGTAGATGGCCGCGATGGGCGGACATAAGTTGGTCCAGACCCTCCGGTGGTGTATGTACTTGCTCTCAAATAGATTCACACAATTATACCCTATGGAAGAGACCTCTGAATTGCGGGAACATGTGAGGATCCGGGTTTTTTTCCTGATAATTCCTGAGAACCTGATAGTGATAATTATCTGATAAATACAGCGTACAGGCCCCCCGTCACAAGCATATATACTAGCATACATACATTACATACCATTTCTGACTTTCAAGTCAGAAAACCTAGCGTTAGGTCCTCACGTGCTCATGTATCTCACCTGTCACAGCCGCTTCCGAAAAAAAAAAATTCACGACCATCCAGAGTTTCACCTCGCGACGCTCACGATTTTTTTTCCTACCACCACACGAAAATTTTACGACACCACCCACCACGCGAACCCTGCCTACACCAGCCACCACGGAACCTCTTAATCCAACGACGCTCTTCGATTTCCGGCCGTCGACCATTGGCTCTCACCTGCCTGGTTTTCCTTCATTTCTTCCCGTTTACCCTTCCAGCTCATTCACCTTCCCTTCCTACCTTCGTTCCTTCTTATATTCAGTTCTTAAAATCAGTTTCAACCAAGAGCCACATCAAACGTCACTCTTGATCTCGATCTCATCGTCCTCGGTTACCATCCTCATTTCGATTTTATACGCCAGTCAGTCCGTAATCACATTTCGAATCTTTATATCATCTTCATCTCCGCTCTTTAAATTGACATTTTGAACATTGTGTCTGCAGAAAAGTGCTTTCCAGTGTTCCAACTTGCTAATCAATTCACGATGGTCATCTCACATCTCATCAAAGTCGATTTGCAATTTGTGACCCCAGGATACCTACCCGAACCAGGTTACAAAAAAAAGGTAGGGATATACTGTCCGAAGTGTAACACCCCATTAATATACCTTCCCCCCAAGGCAGACGCATGGTTCATTGGAGTAAGTCTCCAATTAAACCTATCTCCACTCTGATGCTGATCAATATGCACTTCATTTGCCCAGTGCCCTAATAATATAAATCACAACACCCGTATTTGGCGCTGTGATCAGTTCAATCACGAGCGAGCCCTCATCAATCTTGGGGTTCCGCGACCCATCATATCCACCCCAAAGGATTGGGGCCCACGAATGTCACCCGAGGGACATGTTCTCCCACCGCTTTCTGAAACCCCGAGCCCCAAACGACGTCGCCTCCCATCCATAGATCAATGGATGCCACCGCCAATCTTTGACCATCCATTTCAAGGACGGGCGATTCCAGGACCAATCCTGACCAACCAGACATTCTGGACCCAACCAGTTCAACCTCCAGACTCGTCTGGCCATCAGCCTACACCTTTTACGGGGGATTCTGCAGGCTCGACATCCGGCTCCCACGACACTGGCGCCTTTGCCAGAGACCAGTTCAAGGCCCGGTGCCAAAGGGACACCGCAAGAACGCTAACAAAAAGTGTTGGTTTCAATTTTGCCAGGCAGTACGCGGTTTTACTCTGTTTTACTTGGTATCATCCGCTAATGTAACCCAATCTTACCCTGGTTTCGATTGTGTTTGTTTAGTGCTGTAACACTCACGGACCTGGAATATGCCGAACTCACCCCCGCACACAAACCAACAATAACAATCTCTCAGCCTGCAGTGATCGCCAGATCACCCAATCTCGTGCCTTCACGCCAATGCCCAACAAGTCAAACAAACGAGCCAACCGCCTCCCACAGCAGCCTCGCCCCCATCAATGGGCACAATTGTCCAACAGTCTAGGTCGTAGACTGCCATTGGACACGGTGAAAAACCTTCATAAGACTCGTCTAGAACAATTTCAATGTGCAATCAAGAACAAGTATGACGAAACTAGGATCATCACCATCTACCTGTGGTTGAATGTCAGCTAACCCAACTTACCACAACGTACCACAAAGAAAACTGATCTTTACACTCCACTACCAGGAAATCAAACCCGAAATCATCACAGCATATTTCCAAGACTGGCCACAGGCTCGTCTTGAAGAATGCGATCTGTTGAAGCAAGCTGTCCTCGGGCAGGTTGGCGAACACTGGAACCGCGCTCTCAGCCTTTGGGATGAGGCCATTGACGCTTGGGTAAGAAGTTTCTTACTTAGCCATGCTCACCGATTCACCAATGATTCTCTCACGTTTAATCTTATAGCGCGAAATCCCTGTCGATTACCCGCACCAATATCCTGTGTCCAACCGGACCATAGTGGTACGCCTGGCCAAGGTCAACCCTCTGACACCTGGACTCCCACAGAGTCGTTTTTCCTCTTCCCACCCAAGTACGCTCGATCACAACCAGGATCAAATTCCATTAACTCCTCTGACGCTCAAACCGATGCAAACATTTCCTTCAACACCCGAACTCGCTCTCACCTCCTCTTCGCCCAACCATCCTGTGGGAGGTCAACCTTTGGAAGTTGACTCCCACTCCCCATTCCACCCAACCTCACCACCGGATCAACTTGCGTCCAAAATGATGGTTGACCTAACCCGGGTACCTGATTCTCCAGGTACGGGCGAGGCCATTTCACCTTGTCCGGTTCCTTCCAACAGGGGCACACATGACCCCCAGGCCAAAATCCCGATTGCTTTGGACCACGCGGGTCCGTTGGGACCACTAGCTGTCACTTCAACAGTAAGCACACCACACCCTCAGGACAGCGACGATAAATAGCATGATTCGTTGTCTGATGCTGCTCTATTTTCATAGGTTGCCGAACCACTGCTCAATGTGGTGCAGCCGAAAACCACCCCTCCGCAACTCCAAAAAGGATGGCCATTGAAATCGGTGCTTGTCTCCAGCCTTCTTGAATGGTATCAGAACGCTAAATCCAGTGATATGCTAGAGAGTTGGAAGAACTCTTACGGGCGGAATTGGATAATGGTACCGTCCACCGTGTACCGCTATCGCGCTTGGATCAACGAGGTCACGTACGACCGCTTTGCCGCAGAGTACTACCTACAGCCTAACGCGCACGTAGGACAGGCACGCAATCGATTTAGGGAGGAGTTCAACAGGGTTGCATGAGTTGGGAAGACTGAAGACGGTTCCAAGGTTAAAGGTGAGGGTTGACCCATCCATGTCCTCCTAACCGTGTGAATTTCATTAGGTGGCGATATTCTCCATCATGCTATGCAGTGATTATTACGAGTACACCCTCTTTCAATTTATGTGTGTACATGCGTTAGTTAGTTTTTTTTTCTAAGTCGTGTTAAGTAATAACGCCATCAATGCAGTTTGAAAGACTGTCTAGGTGGAACACATACTCATTGTGTGATTCTGGGATCACAAGGTTCCTGGGTGCAGAGAGTATTCACATACTTAACCTGGGCGCTACTTGAGTATGTGGCCACCTACTCAACGGCCCAGTTCATGGTGTTGATAAGGCAGTTGGCAAATGGATAGAGTGAGGGGAGGTGAAGGACAGACTGAGGTGAGGTGAACACCAGGGGTCAAATGCTAGAGGAGTCATGACCTCAACAGGATTTGTCAAGCCTAGCTGGGGTCTCTTTAGCCATTCCCCAATGGTTTGTGGCCTTCAATAGTTAACTATTGAAGGGGCAACACTGTGACTGTTCATCCAATATATATATATATATTTGATGCCTTATATATATAAATGTAGCCCCATATGTAGCATAATGCTCCTCCCCAAGATTCCTTGGTGATTTGGTCACACTTGTGTATCACCAAAACAGCACACATGTCATACCCCTTTTGTCCTCACAGGTACAGTCAGTCATATATATAATTGCACCTGCGGGCCTTGCACGGGGGACGGACGTTTCGCAATTGTGAAATGAAAACTGTGGGCAATACAATGCCTCTATGTGCTAGGTGAATGTGGTACCAATCATATAGAGGTATTTATTGCCACATCATGAATACAGAGATACTGGATACATGTGCCATGCATGCAATCTCCAGGAATTTTTTTTTCCAGGAGACAAAGAAAAGGACATGGTTTTCCCCCAAAACCATGTCCTTTTAAAAAGGGCTGGTCATGTAAAACTGGATATATATTTCCCAGAACAATTACACATGTGCAGTCAGGCCATAGGAGCAGCTCACTTTCCAAATGAGCTGCTCTATATCTAATAAGTGGAATGCAATAAATAATACAACCTATGCCCCACCCTTTGGCTTCTTTGTCAAATGATATTTTTGGATACCATAATCCAAAAGACAGAGACAGACATGCAGTCATGGCATTTCACACCCTGGCCCTCACATGACGGCCAGTAATGTTGGGTTTTTGGGTTGGGTGGTCCAAACTTGAAGGTCACATTCCTCAACATTAAGCAAACGCCGTGTTCAAACAAAACCCGGTGGCACGAAAGACCCGGTACCCCCGGTTGACTTTTTGGCCAGAAGCGGTTTAGAGCTGTCACTAACTAGTTACCACCAAAAACGCAACTGGGTGTCCCGGGTTTTTTGACTTGACAGGGTTGGGTTTGAACACAGCTGTTGGATGATTCTCATCAAGATCACATCATGATCGCATGTGATGTGCAAATTGCATGTGATGGGATATGCACATAGGTGGGTGGGGTGATGTAATATTTGGCGGCTGCAGCATGGATACATTACAGAGTTGGAAGATTTAGTTCAAACAACCACCTTTGATTGACACGCTATGCAATTTGGGGGTTAATCATTTGGGCCCGCGCGTCAAAAGAAATGTCTTCCGGCGGCAGAAACATTTCATTCGAGGCGCAGTCCTTGTGTTATTAATAAACTCAGGAGGTTCTTGATGGTCACAGTCATTCAAGGCAATACAATATCTTGCAGGGCGGGTACATGTGATGTACCCTTGCTCTTGCTGGATCTTGTGATATTGTGACCCTGACACTTCTGATATGCAAAGGCTTGTTCTGTATCACAACCTCAAATTCAGTACTCTTACAATGATAGGTAAACGAAATAGACCATGCATACAAAGTGACTTTGAGATCTTTGGATCCCATTGAACCTGACACTTTGACACTTCCAATCTTTGGAACAGTTTATCTTCTTCCGGGTACAGGTTACATATTCTTATGAAGTGTCTGGCCAAGAGCTCACCAAGTCCAGTTTTATTTGAATTAGGGAAGATAGTGACACAGAACCACTCACCTCTATCCTTGCATTAACAGATGCCCCTGATAATGCAAGGGCTCAGGAAGAGAAAACCTTCTACCTTGCTCCAATGTGGCTCATTTGATAGTCTATGTAGAATATCAAACCATGGAATCCAAGTTTTTTTCCGTTAAAAACAAAACAGTTGGATGGGGATGGTACATGTACATGAAGGCAGATATGTACAGAAATAAGCAAGAACAAGTGAAATGTGAGAAGTAAATTGAAATACATGCAAGCACATTACAATGTGTTTATATCAGGGATGTGCTGTCATCAATGTTTGCAGCGATAACTAGAAAGCCTCACTCTGTAAACTCGAAGTTGCGCACCTGAGATGAAAAACCAATCAGGGAAGGTTGGCGCGAGGTTTAAAGAATAAAGTTGTGCTTACTTTGAAAATGAACCGTCCAGAAACTGGATCTTTTCGAAGGACAGTGCCATGGAACCAAATCCTCGCACCAGCCACGACCCGCCCTAATTCGTAGTCTGGTGGAGTCATCAATCCAAAGTGATATGTGATGATGAACTCTTTCATAACCTCGTTCTGGAACAGGAAAAACTCAGTCAGCTGTGAATGGTTGATCAGAGATGTGGAGGAAGGATGGACCCACTATCGGGTCATACCAGTCGTGTTTTGCATTGATAGTTAATTCCCACCCGGTGAGATCGTCCACATCTTCAAGATAAAAATCCAGAACAACGCCGAGGCCATTAAGGGTGGCTTTGCCCGCAAGGTGGCGTGGATCATCAGGCGGGTTCGTTACGACCGTTGTCTTGGGGTCGAGAGCGTATTCGATCGTGCTTTCGCCAGAAATGTCATCGTGACCAAAGGGACCAATGATACTGTAAGTCCTTGCACGCTGCAGGGCTTCGGAAGGCATCACGAAACCGAGAGCCTTGAGGGGTGCCACTGCATGACCATGCTGGTCATCACCTTTCAAGGCGAGGTGAGTGCTGGACGAGTGCAACCCAATGCCAGTCTGCGTGGGCTCCACACGAGTCGCCTACGACCGGGAAAGACTGGATTAGGTGGTGCGTTGTGCGTTCTCTTACTGGCGAGATGGATGTTGGATGGAAATAGACACTTACGATCTCAGGACATGAAATAATAGCGGTCATGACCGCCGGGAAAGGCATCTTGGTAAACTTTGGGTAGGTAGGTGCTGATTGAGATGTTGAAGCTATGAACGGATTGAATGGGTGGTATAAAGTGGGAAGGATGATGGTTTGTACCTTCTCCTTCCCTCAATCCTTGTTATATGTGCTAACCGAGGGCCAAGTCGGGGTTGGGAACTCCAACATGGACGCAGCAATGCCACGTCCATATCAAAGTTCCATGTGGTAATTTATTAGTATTTGGGACGTTGATTATGCCTCTGCCTCTTCGCGCTATCAACGCGGCGGTGGTATGGGGAGGTCCTACTGCACGAACCCTGGGCAGTTCATTCAGAAAGCGCGAGTTCAATCATTTCCATCGAACTCATTGTGAACGTTGGCCAGAAGGTAGGTAATGATTAGTAAGGTAATGATCGAACCAATCATTACCTACCTTGTAAGTAATGAATGGTGCATCACCCAGCGAGGCAACATACATACCAAATTTGTGAAGTTCTATTGTGCCAAGTCAGCCATGGGAGGTTCCATGGTGAAGTGAAAGGCCTCGGATTGTACAATAGTTGTTTGAGGCATTTGTACTCACAAAGTCCTCTTAGTAATCTTATGGAAGCAAACTTCCATGACAAGATACGGTCTTGTCATTGAAGATCAAGTTGAACAATTTGATCTTTAACGAACACAGATAGCCAAACAAGCTCTTGCGAGCTAGTGAAAGATCATAAAAAAAAACAACTGGACGAGCCTCATGGAGAATGAACAACTGTTTATTTACCAATCGCAGTTGAAGAAGAAAGTATAAAAAAAACGCCAGTGGTCCAATAATTTATCGATTATCTTAGATTAGTTTTAGATTTGACAAATTTTCCTACGTTTGATAGATAGTATACAGATGTATGAGTGAGGGCTTGTATGTACCTTCTTTGGATCTTAGAAGTTACATAGAATGTGGATGTTGTTAGAAATTGTTAGTTAGCATATTGCCTAAAATCGAGAGAGAACGGCAGAGCCTTCATGACTCACATTGAAATTCAGCCTACAAAATGCCATTGCCAATGAAGTCCATTCCAGGACGCTTCCTGAGTTTCTGTAGTAGCCAAGCATTTCGTAATGCTACCATCTCCTCCAAAAAAAAATTATACTTGACTGAGTGCATGCTTCTGCACATGGAGGCAAAACCACCATACCATATGTTGGTGAGTTCTGCCGCAGAGGCATTGAAAACCCATTTGCTGTTCTGTTGAATATTGGGGAAGAGTCTAGGATTGGTGAAGCGTTGGCAAAAGTCATCACTGCCCGCATGGGAGCGGTGGTGAAACGGATCGACTGGGATGACTGTATCCTTGAATCTGCTGGAATCGACGGCACCGTGGTAAATGTGTTCGGTCAGGCGACACGCATTATCGTAAAATACAACCTCTGGGATTCCCTGAGGGAACGTCTCTTCCAAAAATGCCTGCATATGGGAATCAGGAAGGAATCAGTGTCTAAAATCAAACCAGTTATAGGATTGTAACTGTATCACTCACTTTTACCGCACTGACCAATTCTGAATGATAGAACGTCTTGCGAGCCAGGATGATCCCACACGGCCCCACGATCAGTTGATCGTTGTGGGTTCGCATGCGGCTGAGGCAAACTTTTGTTTTTTCTTGCGACTGTCCACCGTCACGCGCGGCCTCGTGAGACCTATTGGACTCGTCGTGTTGTTGCACGCTGTCCAAGTCCTCAAAGTCGCCGGTCTCGGCATTGAGGTGTACGGTTGCATCTGACGGGAGGTTCGAACCGGGCCGATTCAGAATGGCGGTAAGTGAAAAGTTACCTGCTACTCGGGTTTCGAAAGCCTCCATTGCCTTGATGTGAGCTTCTTTCGCGCAGGTCTTTGAACCAGCTTCACACAACACTCGACATGGTTGAGCTTGACAAATCTGGCCAAGGACATCTTTGTGGGCTTTGCAAAACCGGTCGTTGATGTTCTCAAGACGGTTTGTGCAGGGTCCTTCGGGTAAGGGTAATCCGGCGTCACGTGCTAGGTCAGCGAGCTGATCGGTCGAAGCGCTACAGCGCCAATGGCCTATAGTCAGGCCATCAGTAACTACCGCACGGATTCCTGAAATATAGATCATGCGGTAAAGAGATTCGCGGTCATCAACAGCATATCGTACAGACGAAGGTTTAGGGAAGTGTGACTCACCTAATAAGATTTCTTCCCCAGTGTCAGAATCAATTCCGGCTGATTGAATACGCACACAACGAGAACAGTAATGGTCTCGGTCTCGTGTGCCCTCAACAGCCAGCAGTTCCAGGTGAGCGGCCATTGCATCCTCGAAACGTAGGTGGTCTGTCCCGCTCGCACTGACCATCAGCTGGGTCCCACGACGATCTGCGTGGTTGAGGAGAGAAATCAAGTCCAGGCCATCGCTGCACATCGGCTGCGACATCGCCGGGGTGAAGGCTTGATCGGAGGCGAATTGGGGGATGTTGCAGTTGTCGACATAAGTACGATTGTACCAGTTAACTAAATTGAAATGTGAAACGCTATCACGCGAAGGCTTCAGTGTACAACCACGGCTTGGAAAGATTTGTAAAAACGTTATATCTTACTGCGCTAGGAATTGAATACCGCGTAACATGCTATGCAATCGGCGGGTCATGTAGTAATGACAATGTACGTGGAGGGTTTCCGGATCACGGCCCATTTCCATCGTGTAGTAGCAGCGTACATCATTCTTGGTGTAGTAGCTAGGCCTATAGGAAGTTGCACATTTCGCATCTGGGATTTAGGAAGGTAATGAGCGAGCGGAAAAACGTACAATTTAATGACAAAACTAAAGCAATCTTACCAGGGCATCTCAAGATAGTAGTCTCAGCGGTGTGTACGCCATCTGAGTCAAAGACGTAGGCGTTGAGGCGGGAGTGGACGTGTAAGTTTGGTGAGCTGGGGCATACAAGGCACTTGGTTACAGGGGCCCGTAGGTATCGCTCGGCGACTTGGGAGACATCTGGTTGAACGCCGAGATTGCGGATGCAAGCAGTCAAATCGATACGAGCCGAGGGGAAGATGTCGAAGGCCATCCTCCACAAGCTGTGAATGAGTTTGTGAGGAAAGGCTGGGGTTAGGGCAGACAGGAGGAAGTTGGCAACTGGCAGACGATAAGATCTCAGTCAAAGGCCTTGACCGGCCGAGTGTTGGACTTCGGATGCAAGCGACATGAAGCGAACAAAGTCGGCCACCGTCAGAGAGGTGCTCAGTCGAGGATTCGTGGTGGTGAGTTGGCCTACGAAGTCAGTCAGAAGCATGGTCGAGGGGATTGGGATATAACCAGGAGATGGATGACTTGGTGGGTTGAGGGTGTGGGTGGAGGGTATACGGTATGCGTGGTGGTGATCAAGATTACACGGGTGAGGTGTCGACAGTCGCGTGAGGTCGCATCGCGAGGCGTGGGAGGTGACACCTCAAGGGGTAGGAGGGTGCCCACAAGTAGGCCACGCAAGCTCCCCTTATGGACGGCAGTAAGTCGCTACGTAGTAAACGGCGACATACTGTTTATGTTAAATCTTACATGTGATGTCGACTGATGTGGACCCATGATCCATGGGGTTAGCAGGGGTTCTCACGATTCTCAGACATTATCAGGATTCTCAGAATTGCTCGCGCAAAACCCCGTTCCTATAGTCTACCCTGAATTGCTTTGATTTTACTAGAGCAATCTAAACTTCAAATTCAGTGACAATAGGGCGTAGGGCGTCTCAAGTTGATTTTTTTGTTTTTTGTTTCACACTTGGACCTTGTTCGTATTTTTCATTTACTAGCTCCAAGTGATCGAATCGAACAAAGGGTTTTGGCCTCTGAGCTTAGGTAACGAACAGCGGCTCGCTCTCTGCTTGGGCAGAGGTCCAAGAGAGATCGCCCGAAAAGAATCATTCTAAGCCCATGATCTTGAGACTTAACATAATTTATACCATAAGAGCATCTCCTATCGTCTCGGTAAACGGCTTCGGTACGGTAAATTTTACTGTACCGAAGCCCAAAATCCACAATCGTGTGAAAAACACCATTCGGTATCTATCGAATCGGTCAAAAATCGGTAGAGGTCCAGCAAATTTGCTGGACCTCTACCGAGTCGGTATTTCCACAATCTACCGAAAAGCTACCGAGACTCGAGTCTCGCCAAAGTCTCATCAAGGTTCCCAAATCCCTCTACTATCCCCCTCTACTATCCTTCCTTTCGATTTACTTTCACTATTCCATCTCAATCTTCATCTCATCTTTGTCTGAAATATCAACTCGTTATCAATCAAGATGGATCAAATCAATCAAGACTTCGACCATCAAACCACTCAAAATGATCAACTTAATCAAAATTCATCAAAGAAGAAAA